GGGGGGTGAAGCCAGGGCGTTCGGGTGTCTCAGCCCCCCCTGCTCCTGCCTGCTGCTGGACAGGAGCTCTGCCCCTGCCCCAGGGAGGCTGTGGGGCACAGGGAAGCGATACCTCGGGGGGCTGGGGTGTAGTGTGGTGCAGCACGCCTGCCTGCCTGCCCACCCTGGCTCCAGCCCTTTGGAGCCAGGAGCAATTTGCAGAGCCGGGAGGAGAGCCCCAGAAGGTGCCAGCTCACAGCAGAAGTGCTGGGAGGGCAGGCAGGCTGCAGACAGGTCTCACATCACCTAGCTGGAGGAGGAGTGACCTTGAGTGGGTCTGGCAGACACCGCACTGCTGCGGGGCCTGGGCTGCTCCTGCCAGTGATCTGCCATCCCCTCCACTGTGGTCATCCCCCGACTGCAGCCGTGTGCCAGCATGCTCAACGTGGGAGTGGAGACCTGCACCCCTGTTCCGCAGGGACCCCAGTATCCCCGCCATGCCCTGGCTCAGTGGCTGTCCCCTGCCAGGGGCTCTGTCTTGCTGCCACGCGGGGCCGGACCCCCATGGCAGGCTGCTCCTGGCAGGCAGGCATGAGCTCCGTGCCCACTCGCCCACGATGGCTGATGCCCAGTGGGCTCTGCCAGCTCATGCCATTGGCACTGGGGCCCTGTCAGCTGGGAAGCTGGGCATTGCCGGTGCACGGAGTGTCGGCACTTGGACCAGTGCTCAGCGCTAATTGGTTATCCTCTCATGTTAACTTTTATCTCTCTATCCATGGCAGTGACACAGCGGGGGCAATTCCTGCCTTCCCAGCCACCCAAACATCATCCCTGGTGTTGCTGTTTTTTTTTCACCTCTGTGTTTTGGCATGAGTGTCAAAAAAACACTTCACCCAGGGCCATGACTGCCAGCAGCTCCACGTCCTGCCCAACCATGGTGAGAGGCTGCAGGACCTATGGCATTTGGAGGGGCACAGTGGGCACCCCTTGTTACAGGTGCTCTGCTCATCTCAGGGCTGGCCCTGGGTGCCTGCTATGGCTCTCCCCAGGGTGGGTCCTTGGGGCTGGGGTTGTTGTGCTGAGCTTTTCCACCCAGAAAACCTGTCGGGGGGGGGGGGGGGGGGGGGGCGGTGTGTGCACACGCACACCTCGATGCTTGCACACCAGTGTTTCCTCCCATGTCTTTCCATGCTGGCTGCACAGTGTCCCAGTCGCCTGCTGGCCCTGGCCTCTGCTGCTGCCTGCAGGGAGCCACCCTGCCTTCTCCAGCACCAGTGGCTTGTCCCAGCCCAAAGCCCAGTTTAATGAGTTACCTCTGGTTATGCTGGGCTGGGCTTGCTGCCCACCTGCATGGGAGGTTTGCATCATGGCAGCCACAGAGACAGCAGTTGGATGGAGCACCCCCCTCCTCCAGACCCCCCCCGGCACGTCTGGGCAGTGACACCCCAGCTGTGCCGTGGCCAGCACTGGCTTTGGACTCCATGTCCTTGCACACTCCTCTCGCTTCACCTTACAGCTGGTTTGCCCCGTCCCACAGGCGGGTCTGTGCTGTCCCAACTGTGTCCTCGTCCCCTGGGACCAGCCTGGTTGCCTCCTCCCTGTCCCACCCATGGCCAGGTCATCCCTCCTGCCCCAGGAGCCAGCAGGGCTGGCCATGCTGGACTGCACTGATGCCAAGCAGGGGGCATGGTTGGGGTGGGGAGGATCCCAAATTCTCCCAGGCTCACCAGCAGCCCCACGGGAGCAGAGGCAAGACCGGGGGGCTGCAGCCTGCAAGCTGGTACTGGTGCAGGTGGGCAGCGTGGCTGTGTCATGGCCACTGCCAGGGTGGAAATGGGACCCGTGTGCTGTGCCAGCCCTGGCACCCACATTGGGGAGGGTGTGCAGGAAGAGGGACCTGTGGCCAGGGCACTGTGCCAGGGCTGGGGAAGCTGATGGGTGGTGGGCAGGGACAGGTACACCCCAAAACAGGAGCTGGACCCCACCACCACCTGCCTGCTGAAGCACTGGGCAGGGTGGAACTGGCCACCCTGGGCAAGTGTGGCTGGACAGGGCTGGGGAAGGGAGGGGTGGGTGGGTGGCAGCATTTGGAGGTGCCCCCATTGCTTCTGAGTGCCAGCCCAGGGTGTGCTCAGTCTCTGGTACCCAGCCTGACATGGAGGTGCCTACTCTCACCAGTCCAGCCAGGGAGCAGCTGCTGGGCCCTGGGGTGGTTTCAGAGAGTGGCAAAGCCCCTGTAAGACCCTTCACCCTGCAGGGTGCCGAGGCGACGATATCTGCTGGCTAGCCATGGATTGATTACACGTGGGGAGTTTAATTAGATCAGTGCCCGCCTGTTTCGCTCCTAATCCCAGCCCATGACAGCTGGGCAAGCACAGCTCGTTCCTCAAACAGAGATAACAACCTTTTATATATTCCAGGCTGGGTTTTATTTAACCAGTTGCTGGGTACTGGCTTGGGGCTACCCTCCACCTCACCCCTCCACTGCCCCAAGGTGGCTCCAAGGGTCCCGCTGGTGTCTCATGCTGCTGGACAGCCGCAAGTGCTGGGTGACCTATGCTGGGGTGGCTTCCTCCCACCAGTGAACAGCTTTCACCAGCACCTGTTTGGGCGGGACATGTTTCTATGGGTCCATGGCACAGGAGGGGGTCTGCGGTGTCACCCCCAGCACCCTGCAGGGATGTGGCATGTCCCCACCCCTGGGGCTGCACTGTGCCAAAACCTCTTCCTGCCCTTGAGCGGACACGTGTTTTGGATGTTTTGTGACCTTCAAACAAAATGGCCTTGAGAACAAGCCCAGAGCAAGCAAAGCAGGCAGCCGAGACTGATTTCTGTGCTTAAAGGCCTGATTATTTTCCCATTAAGCATTAGTTCTCCCCCGGCCACCTGGCCGAGCCCTGCGCTGCCCCCAGGGAGCAAACCCAGCTCCTGCGGGCACAGTGATCTCTGCTCCCTGCCCCAAGCAAATCCCCCCCAGGCTGCTGCACCCAGCATGGAGTTCAGCCAACTCTAATTGCCACCCTAATTGCAGCTACCAAGAAAACCCAGCCCGCAGGAGAAACCACTGCAGCAAAGGCATCTCTGTCCTTCCCCGGCACCGTCAGCCAGTGAGTGATGAGTGCGATGCCCCGTGGGCAGCGTGGAGGGGTCCGGGTGCAGTCTGGGGGCCGCTGGTGGTGGCTGCGCCCTCTGATGAGCAGTTTGGTGGTGAAATTGGGCTGGGCAAAGGAGGATTTATTGTGGGTGGCATCCTGCTTGGCACCTGCGCCCATGCTGGGGGAGCAGAGCCGCTGTGGTAGCCCTGGAGCTTCGTGTCCTGGTGGCTCCATCCTGTGGTGGGATCTCCACTGTGCCGTGGGCACGGCCGCAGCTGCCCCCCCTTGCCCCCAGCGCGCTGCTGGGATGGGGACGCTTGGGAAAGCCCCCGAAGTTGGGCTGTGCCCCTTCTCTTGTCAGGGCTGTCCCCCCCCCCGGTTCCACTGTCCCCCAGGGCGCGGGGACAAGCAGGCGGCAGTGTCATCGTGGGCAGGCGAGGGCTGCCAGGGATGGTGCAGGCAGCGTGGGAGGGTGCTGGGAGCCGGCTCCTGCCGTGACTCATCACCAGGCTGTAGGCAGCCAGGCATGGCCCTGCTCCCAGGGAGGACCCAGGCCCTGCGCTCCTGCCTGCTGCTGCCCGTGGGAAACCTGTAGGCACGGCCACGTGCGGCAAGGTGAAGAGCAGGGCTAGGGCAGCTGTGTGCTGCACCCCCATCCAGCTGTGCACCCCCCATCCAGCTGTGCCCAGCCCAAGACACAGGCGTACCTACCTCTGCACTGCCACCAGCTCGGGAGGGAGGGAGGGAGGGAGGGAGGGAGGGAGGGAGGGAGGGAGGGAGGGAGCGAGGGACGTCTGTGCTTGTGCTGTGGCAGTGCCAGCAGTGTCACCATCCCCGGCAGCGGCTCCTGATGCTGATGCTGAAAGCCAGGACCCCAGAATGTCCCTACAGCCTCATGCTGCAGGTGACCTGTATGTCACTGTCCCAGCTGGTCACAGTTCCTCTCTCCATTTCTGCACACAGTTTGACACCATCACCCTGTCTCAGGACTCAGCTTTGTGTAGGACCCAGAGACTTTGTGTTCCCCCAGGAGGTCCTGCTGACTTGAGCCAGGCTGGGGTAAAGAACCAGGGCTGCTCTTGGCTGTGGCAGCACTGCCACAGCATGTTGGGTCCAGATGAGGTTGGAGCACGGGGGGCTCATGCCTGTCTCCAGGTAGCAGAGAAGTCCCCAGGTCTGACATGGAAATGAGATGCCCTGTAAAGCTGCAAGGGCGGTTTGGGCCGCGGTGCATTGATGGGGGAGCACTGGATCCCACTGGTTTCCCGCATTGCGATGTCAAAGGGATGGAAATGGAAGCTACTGCCGCCTGTGATGTCCTGTCACAGCTGTGCTGAGGCTTTGGGCAGGGGTTGGTTTGGAGGTCTTTTTTGTTTGACAGCTCCCACGTGAGGATTGGTCTGTGTTGGTTGGATTGCAGCTGCCAGCCTGCTCAGCCACTGCCGATGTGGTGCAGGCAGGGGCTGGAGACCCTCATTGCTGCCAGCTCTGCGCGACTCAGGGTGTCCTGCAGCACCCTAGGGCTTGGGGCATCCCCTGGGACAGTGGCACCCTGGGGCTCATGGTGTCCTATGGGATGGCAGCACCCTGGGACTTGGGACTCAGGGTCCCGTGGTCTTCCCTGCAGGCAGCAAACTGCCTTGCCCAGGTCACAAAATCATAGACTATCTTGAGTTGGAGGGCGCCCATAAGGTCATCAAGTCCAACTTCCTGGTCATTAGAGCCCGTGGTTAACTGCAGTCAGTTACAGCTTTGTGAAGGCAAAGGGGGGGCCGAGGGGCAGCTCTTGTGAAGGACATCCCCACCCATTAGCTGCAGCAGGAGCTGCCAGGGGCAGCTGGGTCCTGTGCCAAGAGGCCATGGGCAGACCCAGGGGAGCATTTGACCCCTCGCCTCCTCCTGACCCGTTTTCTCTCATCCCCGCAGCAGCATCGTGTCCCCGGAGCCTGGACTGTGCTCTGCAGCGCCGGCAGTTCTGCCCACCAGGATCAGGTGCCTGTGGCCCCTGCCTGCCCACCTTCCAGGAGGACGACCGTGGGCGATGCATCCAGAAGCAGTTCTCCCCCAGCGGTAGGTGCACCCACCCTGCAGCAGCCCCTTCTGCAACCCCCTGACTGCAAATCTGCCTGCAAACCTGCCCCACACCTCTGCAGCTCCAGGAGGTTCCCTCACCTCAGGGTAGCCCCCCCATCCTGACAGCACCCCTGCTCCTCATCCTCTAGCTTCTCCTCCCCATGGCAGCTGTATCTCTGTGGGGATAGTGGCTCTGCCCCCTCTCACTCCAAGCCCCAGCATGTGGCAGTTGTGGGATGGTTTTGGGGGCTGGCAAGGAGCACACAAACCCGACCTCACTCCTTGTGCATCCTCCTGTCGCTGCACTGGTGACCATGTGTGCCTTTGGACCCTGCCAGCACCCACGAGTGCCCAGCGATGGGAGGGGGCCTCAGCAGCTTCCAGGATGCTCCGGGGTCTGCCTGGCTGCTCTGGGGTGGGGGCTTTTCGAAGGAAAGGTCATGGCCATGCGGAGCCCCAGGCTTTGCAGGAAGGTAGCAGCTTTCGGTGCACAGGACCATGACTCGTGCAGACCCCATGGCCAAGGCAAACAGGTGCCTGCAGCCTCACCCATCCCGGAGCTGAGCCGAGCTGGTGTTTGGGATTTCAATACCTGGTTCCCATTGGTTTGAGATTTTGGGATGTGGTTTGGGACTGCCTGACATCCATGCCAGGAGGGGTGGGAGTCAGCAGCACCAGGTCGGAACCCTGCCCAGCTGCGTACGAGGTCCCCAAGGACTGCACTGGGTGTTATCCCTCCCCGCTTTTCCCAAAAGCTGTGGGGCTATGGCAGCCTGGGTGCACTGTGCCAGTGGGAGACACGTGCAGAGCATCCCCGGGGACTAGCAGCCCATGGGGATCCATGCCACCCCGCACAGGGCTTTTCCACCCACTGCTGTGGTGCGTGGAGGGTGCTCCCAGTGCAGCCACCTGCACTCCAGCTCAGCCACACTGGGGGCCAGGCACGCGCCTTTTTTAGGGTGATCAACTATCTGTGCAGCTTGGAAAGCTGTAGGCAGAGCTGTTTCTGTGCCCCCCACGTTGTGGGTTTTTTCTTGCAGATTCAACAAGCAGGCAAATTAAGACTAATTATGGCTCCACCTAATTATTTTTGCTTTAACTAAAGAGAAGCAGCCTCTGTGCATGGGGAAGGAGCTGGGACCCGACCGTGCCCTCACATATCACTCCTGGTGGGTTTTGCTGGAGATCACTGGGTGCAGGATGGGGGCTCTGAAGAGCCTCTGAACGGCCTCCATGCCTGCTGCAAGGTGCGTCAGCACCTTCCTTCAACCCTCTGGGTTTCTGGGGAGTTTGCTTTGTGTTCTGGTTCGTGTGTCTTGGGGCACATTTGGGGTCCCGCTGGGGAGCAGCTGGAGCTACCCTTTGCCTGCAGCTCAGCCCACGCTTTACAGAGGGTGGGCACGTGGGGGGATGGCAGAGCCCATCGTGCCCTTCATGCCGTCAGGCTCCTGGCAGGAGGATCACCCCTTATATCAGAGGGGAGATCCCCAGAGTGGGGCCCTGGCTCTGCGCAGCCCTTTGACTCTTGGGCTTAGGGGCCGGGCTGCACTGAAATGGGAGCGATGGCTGGGAGGGGGACAAGTTAGGGGATAGCATAGAGATGCTGTCCAGCTTGGTGTTTGGCAGCAAGCAAAAGTTTGACTGCTGATGCTCCCTGCCACCAGCTCCACAGCCATAGGTACCAAACAGCTTTAAGAGTTGTTTGTGGTTTATTTTTTAATGTGAAGTCTTGGGAGTAAATTCCTCTCTCAGAAGGGCTGCACATACACCAGCATCTCCATAGCAACTTTGCTCCACACTGGCTTCTGCGGGGAGATGCAGCCTCAGTAGCATCCTTGCCCAGCTTCTCTGGGACCATGGTAGTGTCCTTTCCCAGCTTCGGCAGGGAGATGTGGGACCACAGTAGCATCTTCAGAGGATGCTGAGAGGATGCCGGAAGGATGGAGACCATCCCAGGGTCTCTCCCAGCCCCATCCTGTTGTCTCAAGCAATGCCACCACCTTCTGTCAGCAAAAGTATGGGTACAGGGGAAGAAAAGGGGGAATCCCCTCCCAAATCCTCTATTTTAACATTCAGGGGAACAGTAGCATCCTGAGGATGCCCAGCTCCTTTTGGCAGGGAGGCACCAGTTTTTTCCATGGATGCTTTTGCATTGTGCCTGTACCATGGTCTGGCAGCAGCACCCAGCTGCCCAGTTCAACTGGAAGATTGTACAAGGATGCAGAGGGGCTATAATAGCTGCATTTGAGGGGGGATGCAGTGCAAGCAGAAGGAGGGGCTGCCACGGCTCAAGCCCTTGAGCTGCTTGCAACTGCCGGTGACGCCGATCCTGGGATCCCAGCTGCTGCTGCTGCACTGTCCCTGCAATTGGATGCGGCTCCTGGCAGGAGCGTGGGCAGGAGCCGAGTCTCCTCTCCCTAAGTGTACCTGTGCAGGCAGTCACTGAGAGTGGCTTTTTGGAGTGAAAAGTAGTGTTTTGGGGTTTTGGGGGGGTGATGCATGTGAATGGTATGTGCCTGCCACTGGTGATGGTATGTGTGGTTGTCTTGGTGTACCCAGCACAGCACCAGCATGGAGGTGAGACGGGCTGCATGGCACCTCATGGCACGGTGCATCCTGCAGCTGCCTCAGCTGGGTGGGCAGCTGGCTGCCTGCACCTCACTGGTGCTGCCTGTGCAGGGGTCTGAGCTCCCAAAACGCTGCCAGCACCACAGTGCTGCGTGCTGTTTGAATATGCTGTGATGGGTTTGTGTGACGTGGGTTGGGCTGGTAGGTCCCAACCCTGCTCCCGCTTGACCCTGCCAGTACGGAGCCAGGGCTGAGTCCCGCCGGGCTGTGGGAAGTGCTTTGGGAAGAGGGGGAGAAGCGTGTTCCAGCTTGTGGACCTGGGGATTCCCCCCTCCCCGCTTGCTGTGCTGCCAGCAGCCAGGAGGGCATCAGCCATCCTAGAGAAGGACTAGAAATAAGTGGATTTGTAGGAATTTTGTGCCATCATATGGAGACTGTCAACATCAGGCTTCCTCTATCCGGGGCCTATCTTGCTCCCTGCTGTCCCCAAATCCATCACAGTAACTGTGACCATCCCGGGGTTGAGCCCTGGAGACCTTGGGGAGGGGAAAGCTCCAAGGAGGGGCCAGGGTGGACGGAGCAGCTGGGCTGGGATGCTGTGTGCCAGCCTGCTGACCACCCTGCTGCAGGCAGGTGGTGGGACCTACCATGAGAGGGCACCCATGCCCCATGCATGCCCTATGCCCACCATGCGTGCCTCCTGCATGCTCTGTGCATACCTTGTACATACCGTGCATGCAGCCTGTGTGCCCTGTGCGTGCCCTGTGCGTGCCCTGTGCATACCTTGCAAGCACTCTCCATGCCCTGTGCATACCTTGTGTTCACCCTGTGCCTGCTCAGCATGCCCAGCTTGCTGCAGAAGGGCTGGGGGGGGCCTCTGCGAGCTCCCTTCATCTCAGCTCCTCTTGCAGCAAGAGCCAGGGCCTGGGGCAGCCGGGCAGGAATTGGGGCTCAGCCCCGGCCCTCTGTTCCCTAGGGGAGCAGCCCTGGGCCGGCGTTTCACCCACCCACAGCGCTCGTCAGGAACCAGCCATCAGTGCCAGGCTGCTTCTGCTCTGCAAATATTGCAGGGTGGCAGATGTGGCATCACCAGGGGAAATCTCAGCGGCTGAACAAAACAGGGGTGTGGGGATTTTAGCTGCTGAAAGGGAACTTGGCAATAAAGCTGGTTAATGCAGGTGAGTGGGTATGGCCGAGGCACTGCCAGCAATGCCAGAAAGCACAAATGGCACAGCTGCCTTGGTTTTCTTTGTGCTGCTTCACACAGTGGGAGGCTCATAGTGACCTGGGAGCTGTTCTTGATGGTTTTCCAGCTTTATTTGTCCTTTTCCAGCCACATCACATTCATTCTCCTGGAGTGTTGGCTGTTGCAGCTGTGCCTGCCCAAGGCCAAGAGGTGGCAGGGCAGGGCTGGGCAGTGCATCGTGTTGGTGGCAGCACCAGCACCAAAGCAGCCTGCTTCTCCCAGCCCTGATGGTCACACACACCGGCATGGGCAGGTCTGACCCCTGCATCCCATGGGAATGGGGACAGGCCTTTTCCTGAGCACAGTGGGGAGCTAGAACCAGGCCATCCCCATCCCAGGTGCAGGGCTGTCCCAATAAGGCACCAAGATGTCCCCTCCCGGGCACAGGGCTGTCCCCACAGGACATGGGGCTGTCACACTCAGTCCTGTGCCTGCTCCCCTGCTCCTTGTGCAGGCACCTTGGCACCATGGCACTTCCCCATTGGGCATGGTGCTGACGGCACAGCCCCAAACCTGGCATCGTATGGTCATGGCACTACTTTGCAAATCTCTTTGGGGCTGGAAATAACTGGATGCAAAGGGCTGGGGAAACCTGCAGCTCATGGGGTACTCCAGCTCCTGCCAAGGATGGGAGGCTGGGGGCAGTTTGGGGAGCCAGGGGACACAGGGGACATGGAGACAATGGCTCCTCGTGCACTTGTTTAAAGCAAGAGTGTCCCCCGTTTAAACTGTTTTTTGACATGTGTGGCTCTGATTCTCAGGGCGGCTGAGTGGCCTTTGTGCCCAGCTCTGGAGGGAACTGGAGTTTATTTCCAAACACTGGGAGCGAGGACAGATTCCAGAGAAGCTGTAATTGTTATAACCTTGAACTATCCAGGAACAGAGCTGCTGGTATCGCCTTGCCTTTGTATGTCTTGATTTACCCCCCAGGGCTTCCCACTGGGACAGCCTTTATATGGCTGCACCAGGGCAGAGGGGGCAGGGATGTGGACAGGGAAGTCTCTGCCTTTGAAGTTGAGTTTAATCCTGTTAAAAGTAGAGTGGGGAGCATCAGAGCTTGACTCTATTTGGTGAGTGAGGACAGCAGCTCCACTCCTGCTCCTCCTTGTCACTGCGTGGATGGGCACCCCCGGGCTGGGGGCTGGGGGCAGGGTTCCTGCCTGTGCCGGGCACTGCAGGGGCATGGGACCCTTTGCAGGTCCCCGGGACCCTTTGCAGGTCCCCGGCACGCACTATGCTAGGGCATGAGCTGGGTCAGCCACTCCTGAAATACCCAGTCAGCCCCTGCAGATACATAATGATCCTCACTGCGTGGGGCACCCCAGCCCCTCCCCAAAGGGGCTGCATCTTGCTGGGCGCTGGGCAGAAATCGGCCCCTAAGCTGGAGTGAGGGTTCCCACCAGTTCCTGGACAGCCCCGGGTGAGCCCTGCTCTGGGGTGGCTCCAGCCCCCTGGGCCATACAGGACAATTTGGGGTAAAAAATTCCGGTGTCCTCTGCCTGCTCTTGAAACAGCCCCGCTGCCCGCAGCAGGTCAGTGATTCACCTTGCCAGAGCTGCCCCTCACACCCCGCAGTAGCAGGGTGGCTGTGGGGTGTCTCTCCTGGTCCAGCTTGTGTCCCTCCTTGCTCAGGGCCATTTTACAGCCTCTGGTGCAGGGACACAGGGAGGTTCCTGAGCAGCGGGTGCTGGTAGCCTGCCTGCTCCTGTGGGGCTCTGGCAAGGGGGGCGGCTGTGGCCACTTGCTCCTGCAGCTTTTGGGAAAAAGCATTCCAAAAGTGATGAGGACATGTGCAGATCCCAGGGCTCGGCTTTGGGACTATTTTATGCCAGAGTGCTGCATCGAGGTGGGCTTAGACTCCAAACCACCTGCATTTGGTCATGCTGGGATGTGAGTCCCTTTTTGGGGGAACGCTGGGGCTGGCGCTGGGGCTGGCTGCACGGCCGCATCCTGGGTGCCCCTCTCATGGCCACTCTCTCCTGGCGCAGGGCGGACATCCGTTCCCAGCTTGGAGAAAGAAATCGATTTTCTAGCGGATGTGCTGGCCAGACAAGAGGCTCCTCACCCCCACCCACTGCGAGATGGCAAGCCCAGGAGTAAGTGCCTGCTCCCCGGCTCCCACCACTCTCTGCAGTGATGCTGGGGACCCTGCAGCAGCCAGACCCTGCACCCCAGGCTGGTTTGCCCTCCAGAGCTGCCCAGCCACTGCTCTGCTCACAGCTCTGCCTCCTCCTGCAGCCACACCAGTCCCCGCCAGCGGCAGACAGCGCATGGCCAGTGGGCTGAGAGAGGGGCTCCTGCAGCGGGGTCCCGCCAGCAACGAGGTAGCTGCCACCCTCCCCACCTCCACCACAACTGCGGTCCAGAAGTACCCGGTGGAGGCATCCCCCATCCCTTCAAATGACGGCACAGTGCTTGGTGAGACCCTGGGATCTCGTGGGAGAGGGGGTTTCACGTCCTGGCCGGGGCAGCAGGGGCTGGTGACACTGTGCCACCAAGCTCACCCACTGTCCCTCTGTGTCCCCCTCCACCTCTGCAGGGCTGATCGTGGTGTGCACAGTGGCTGGGATCTCTGTGCTGATCGTGGCTGCAGTCTGCTGGTGCAGGTGAGCTGGGGGCTACTGGTGCCAGCCAGTCTTTCCGTGTCCTTGTGCCCAGGGCACCTTGTCCCTGTGCTTCCCAGGCGTGGGCGAGGGGTTGGAGGAGAGGCAGTAGCTGCTCTTGCCAGTCGCCCTGCAGGTATGGCATCTGCTGGTTGGGACTGGAGGACAGCGGTGGGACACCCGTCTGCCAGGCACACGCTCCTGGGAGCAGGTGGCACCTGGTTTGGGCATTACTGTGGTGGTTGGGTGCTGACACCCCCTTCATGTCAGTGCCTCATGCCCAGGCCCCACAGGATGGAGGTGGCTGTGTCTGGAGGTGCCACCCATCATGGGTGTCATCGCAGGGAACAGAGATGTGGGTGGGAGGACTGAGCCCCCCTGAGAGTCACTGTCTCTTGTATGGAGTCATCTGCTCCAGTGGCTCCTGCTGACCGCTCTCCTCTCCCCTGGCAGGCTGCAGAAGGAGGTCAGGCTGGCACAGAAAGCAGACTACTCAGCACAGCGAGCAGCCAGCCCCTTGCCCTATGACAAGATCTCGGTAATGTGCCCACATCCCTCCTTGTGGAGTGTTTGGTGCTTGGGCCAGGCGTGTGCTCTGCTTGGGGGGCATCCAACAGCAGGGGATACCCGTCAGCTGGGCTGGGGACCCTCTGGAGCCCAGCCTCCACGCCTGTCCTTGCTCTCTCCACAGCCCGGGGACAAGACTCTGGCTCAGAGCGCCCAGATGTACCACTACCAGCACCAAAAGCAGCAGATGCTCTCCATGGAGAAGTAAGCAGCCTCAGGAGCAGACAGCAGACCCGGTCGTTGCTCCATGCCCTGACACTAACTGGGGTGCTGTTAATCACCCCCCTTGGGCTTCACCCCTTCACTGCATACTCTCTCCCCCCCCAGGCATAAAGAAGAGCCCAAGCTGCCGGACTCAGCATCATCCGATGAGGAGAATGAGGATGGAGACTTCACCGTGTACGAGTGCCCCGGGCTGGCTCCGGTATGGCAGGCACGGGGAGGCCGGGAGTGGGACACCCTGTGTGTGCGGGGTGGGATCCGACACATGCCTGGGTTGTGCAGTTCCCCACAAGAAGCCTTTTCCACACGTCCTTCGTTAAACCCTGAGGTGGTCCAACCCCTCTGCTTGCCCCCATGTGCCCTGGCCAAGTCCCACTGGAGCCTCCAGTGGGCAGGAGCGGGTGCCCTGGAATGGGTGCCCCAGCACGGGGCTTTTCCCTGGGGAGCACTGCCCCATGGCCCCAGGAGCAGAGAGCTGGAGCAGCCCTTGGCAGACTCAATCCACCATCCCAATGGTGCCAGAGACATGGTGACCACGGATTCCTGGGCACCGAGATAAGGGGGCTCATCCTACTGCCTCCCCAGCACCTGGACCCAGGGGACCTGTGACCCCTCAAAGCCAGAGGGGACTTTTCTGGCTGGCAAGGGACCCCGGGGAAGGGCAGCTCCTAACAGCCCTGGGTACAAAGAGCACAAAGAGACCCGAAAGGAGCCTTTCACATGGTAATCACTGTGGAGCCCGGCCATCAGGGCCCAGATTAAGGGTCATCATTAGGTCTTTACAGGCCCATTAAAGGGCACTTGATGGCAGGCAGGCAGTCTGGGAGAGGAACCCCATTCCTGCCAGCCAGGCATGGGTGTTGTACTGGGGTCCCCAGCCAGTCTGTGGGGTCCCATCCCATCCGTGACCATGGGCTTTTTACATATGATCCCCCCATCCCCACATCCCCAGCCACTCCTGATGGGGAGGCAGCGCCTTTCCAGGGGTGATGGCGGAGTTCTGATGTTTCACCCCAGCCCAGAAGGTCCTCCCATCCTCCCTGGGAGGGGGCTGGGGTTCAGACTCAAACCCCTGCTGGTTTCTGACATCCTGCCTTTTCCTCCCCCCCATCCCACTCCCTCCACCGCCGCAGACCGGAGAAATGGAAGTGAGGAACCCGCTGTTTGATGACTCCTCCTTACACCCCTCCAACCCCAAGTCGCACCAGTAACACCCCTCCTTTCCTCTGCCCGAGCTCGCTATGGACTGTATGCCCAACGCCCAAGCCTGGCGGGGCAGCCACGCTGGAGGTGCACCCACAGCTGGGCGAAGGAGCACGGACCCTGCTCTGCCAGACTGTTCGACGCCTGCCCAATAAACACCCACTAACAGCTATGGGAGGGGGGGATCACCCCCGTTTCCAGCGTCCTTGTCCTCTTTGCTGCTGTAATTGCGTCCCTGCCTTGCCCTTCGCCCTCTGCTCTTGGGGACATGCCAGCTCCGTGGGGGAGGCCACCGCTACCTTGGCACGGAAACAGGCGGTTGCAGTGGGTTTTGAGGAGGGAGCTGCTGCCCCAGCTGTGGTTGGGCTGATGCAACAGCAGCTGGGAAAGGGCTGGAGAGGGGCTTGGAGAGCCAGAGAGAGAGAGGGGCCGGGGCTGGGGGGAGTCCGGGCACGCTCATGTCTGCAGGGGAAGGCATCGGGGCTGCCAGCGTGCCCAGAGCCCCTCTGCCAGGGATGAAGACTCCCATGAGTGGGTGGCATCGCTAAAGGTTCCGGGGCCTGGTCTCCCTCCTCCTCCTCAACCCGGGGCAGGATCCTGCTCTGGGAGCCAAGGGCAGGAGCAAGAGCAGGCTTGGGCAGGCGCTGGCAGCACTCTCAAGGATGCACCTTCAGGTGTGACGTGCCCTGGCCCCCTGCACTGGCTCCATCCCCTTCTAGGGGTGCTGGTCCTCAGAGGCCCAGGTACATAGACAGTCCCGGCGGTGCCGTGGCCTGGGACCCTGTGCCAGGCTGTGCTGGCAGAGGCAGAGCATTTCCTTGTGGCAGCCCTGGGTGCCAGCAGGCCTCTGGCCCCAGGCCTCCATGGGGTCAAAGCTCAGAAAAAGGGTTCAGGGGTTTTGTTTTTAAGCCTGTGTGGCTGTGGGGGAGGATGCTTGGGCATCCTGGCTGGTGCTTAGGGTGCTGGGAGGGGTAACCAAGGCATGGTGACTTTGCTGTGCTGCTTCTCTGCCCCGTGGAGCCCATGCCCTTTGCAGCATCCCTGCAGAGCCCGGCCCGGCACGCTCCCTGGGCATCCCTCCATGGCAGGGGACAGTCTCTGCTGCTCCATCCCAGGTACCTCCTGGGCTCCAGAGACCCCCTGCACCCCTCTGCCCATCTCTGCATCCAGGCTCACCAGCCCCACCAACACATTCTTGCTCAGAGCCCAGCACCATTCACCAAAACCTCCCTTGTGCATTGGCCATGACCCCTCCAGCATAAGGCCTGGGTTGGGTTTTGGGTTGTTTTTCACAGATGTGGCTTCATGTCCAGACCCTGGCATGGACTGTCACAACCAGGGGTGATGTGCTGCATGCTGGTGGTGTCTTGTGCAGGGATGGCCTCTCGCACACATGGGAGCTGCTGTGCATACAACCACTGCACGCTCAGGAGCTGTGGCACACGCAGGCAGGCATGGGCAGGGCAGGCAGCAGTGGCAGAGCCCCATGCTGGTGAGTGGTGGTGGTGGTGTGAGACTGTCCCCAGTGGGGTTGCTGGCAGAGGCCATCGCTACACAGACCCTTTCCCTGTGCCCTGCTCCCCTACCTGTGGGCTGCCGCCCTTCTCCCTGTGCCCCTTGTTGTTGTATGGATTGTAGTTCTTTTAAAAGGAGATTTTATTAAATGACCATGTTTGAGACCCATGCGAGTGTGTGGTGTGGGGCCAGCTCCCCGCTGTGGAGCCCTCAGCTTGGGTGCTCCTGTTGGGAGTGGGGTGGGATGCAGGGACAGGGAGGGAGGATGCTGCGGGTCCCCCGTCCCAAAATTTTCCCCGGGGAATAATGAGAGCAGCTGTCCTGCTCCTGTAGCTGGAGTAGCCTCCAAACCCTTCCCAAGGGTTCTACCTGGCCCGGCAAGAAGCAGTGTTTATTCTCTTGTTTCTCGGTGTTTTCCAGGAGAGGTTTCCCCAGCAAAGGGTTGGGTGGGAGCCTGCCCCCCTCCCCCAGCTGTGCCTGCCCCCACCCAGCCCTGCAGCACCCAGCGTCCACCCGCCCCCACTGCCCATCGCCCCTCGCCCCAAGGGCCCTTCGCACCTCGCTTGGCCAGCAGATAAGGGCTATCGTGTCCCCCCATTGTGTGGAGCCTGAGCTCCTCTCCCGGCCCTTTGATCACGCCAGCCCCCCCATCAGGCTGATACAATCTCATCTCCTCCTGGTTTCAGCAGAGGGGAGGGTGGGTGCTGACTCACCGCCAAAGCGCCTGGGCATCATCAGGGGTGCTTTGCTCAGCCCTGCTCATGGGTGGCCCTGGGGTCTCCAGCTGCAGCCCGGGGTGGGCAGCATCGCCTGACAAATCACTTGGGACTGCCCCAAGGCTCACCCCTGGGTAAACCCAACCTTGCACACACACCCCCCCCCCACACACACACCCACCCTGCTCCCCCCCCCCCCCCCCCCCCGAGGTCCCCAAATTCACTCCTCCTTTGCTCTCAGAGCCCGTCAGCCTCTCAAAGCACACCCAGGCTTTTGGGGAAGCTCCATCTTTGAGTAAAACTTGTCTGCTCCTCCCAGGAAGACCTCCTTGCTCAGGGCCCCCCTGGGAAGCTGTGTCTCCACTGCACGTCTGGGCACAGAAGTCATTTGTCCTGGAATACCAAGTCTGTGCCACAGACATCCCAGGACAGCCTGAAGCTGGGTGCAGGGTCTGTCCATGCCTCAGTTTCCCCACCTGTAAAACAACAGGGAGGACTGGCTGGTGTGTTCAGGCACTGCGGTGATGTGGGTGCTACCCAAACTACACCCCAGACTCGGTAGTGCAGAGACCTTTTTAATGAGGAGACAGAACTGGACTAAATCATCCTCCCAAGACTTTCATCTCAGCTGGGTTTGGAAGCAACAAGCCTCCATCCTGTCCACTCAAGCCAGCTGCAGCCAAGCAAACTACAGTGCCATGGAGGAGCTTCAGCGTTTCTTCCAGGGAGGGTGCTTCTGAAGCCGAACCCATTGCCCAGCCCTCCTCAGATGGACCTAGGGTGAAAACTGTGGCCGATTCCTGACCATGGGGCACCAACCCACAGCGTGCAGGGCTGCAGCCCACCAAGGTGTGATTGCCTTAGGCATGAAACTCAGGGGGATCCAGCACAGCCCTGATGGCTTCTCCATCACCTAGCCCAGGAGAAAGAGTGGGCTGACAGTGAATAAAACATCATCTGTGGTCATATGCTCTCTTAAAACCTCATCTCCAAGCCAAACCAGCACCAAACCAGCACACTCAGCAGAGGGAGGACAAGCGGATGTGCATCTCTGTCCTCAAGCAAGCCTGGGAGGACAGATGCATTTCTTTCTGCTCCCTTTTTCCTAGCACAATCCCACCCATACCTGGCTGCATTACATATGACAGAGCCCAACCTGATCCTGGAGCATGATCAGGTTCCAGCCACGGAGGTGATGGAGGGACACATCCTTCCTCCTCCCAGAGCAGGCTCTGCCCTGAAACCCCAAATGAGACATATGGCCAAGCCCCAGCCATTGGTGCACAACGACCCCACACAATAACCAGGCACCTCACACAGCCTACCCAAAATCACCCCATTGAAATGTAGAGGGGGGGCACACACCGAGAAACCCCACTGACTCCCTCCACATCCCCCCAGATAAAACCATCACTGCCACAATGGGCCTCCCGCTCCTACAAAGGGGCCAGTTCAAAGTCAACGTCTCCTTTCCCCTCCGCCTGTATATGAAAGGAGCAGGAATTCGTTTGAGGCCTTGGCGGGCTGGGGGGGCTGGGGGGCTTCCTGAGGGGAAGGAGAGAAAGAGCAGGTTGGCAGGAGGAGGGGGTTGACCCAGGAACAATAAATCAAAGGGAAGGGGAGTTACTGCCCAGCCAAGGATCTTCTGAAACCCTGGGCCACAGTGGGATCCCAGGAGGAGCAGGGCTGATAGCTGCGATTGGAGTCCTGCAGCGAGACTTCCTCTGCCCACTGGCAGAGGGCCGACAGCGGGGCAGGCCTGCAGGCACAGCGCCTTGGTGCCAGCACCCCCAGCAGCATGGTCCAGGGCCCAGCTCTCCCGGCAGCGTGGCCGAATCCAGCACCCGCAGGGCAAGGTGCCGTGCCGGGTCTGGATGGGGGGTTCCCTCCAGGCAGGTCCCACAGACGAGGGGCTCATTCGGGGTTGCCCACATCCCCACTGACATGCATCCTCAGGTCACTCCTGGGGCTACCCTCCCTCCCCAGAGCAGCCTGCTGCAGCCAGGATGGGCAGCCTGGCACATGCCCAGCCAGGAGTCAGGAAGGGGCTTTAATTCCAGCTCATACCCTTGGTCAATTTTTTTTCCCTTATAGCAATATCATTACAAGGTGTGTGTGTGGGGGCTGTTCCACTCCCCCCGATGTGCGGCAGTGCCATGTGCTGGGCCGGGGGCTGCTGCTGGCACTGCGAGTACCAGCCCCTGGGTGCCAGCCCTCTCCGGAGCCAAAGCAAGTGCTTCATAACCAGCATCGAGTGCTTTCCGCCAGTCCCACCAGCAGCCCCATCGCCGTGGGGGGAGGCTCCTTCAGCCTATCTCTTGGGCATATCTCCAGTGTGAGACAAGCAGCAGGCTCCCAGTAATCCAGGTTAATAAACAGGGAGCGGTGCTGGCAGCAGGGTCGCTCCTCGCCCTGCTCCGGACAGGACGGGGGGTGCCCGCGCCACCAGCGCCTGCCGGTGCCTGGGAACTGGCATCGGGCTGCGAGATGCCAGCAGAGGCTGATGTGGCAGCAGCAGCAGGACCGGGGAAGCTCACGGTGCTGAGGCGGGAGGGAGGGAAGGGGGAAGTGCCTGGAGCCGGCCCCGACGGCACCATTGTGAAGGGCAGTGTGAGAGGAAAGCCCTTAAGATAGAGAAAATATCGAGCGCGCTCCATTGTGGAGCAGATGGGCCAGATAGCCAGGGCTGCAATCAGCTCCCCCGCGGCACACCCAGCGCTGCGGGACCTCTCTACCTGCACACGCTCCCTCTGAGGCACGGCCTTCCTCAGCGGGGCGAGGAGGAGGAGAGGGACAGCGGCACTGTGGGGGAGCCGAGCCCCAGCTTCGCCCACGAAGCAGTGCGCGGGGTGGCCCACGGAGCCGGGAGACCCCCGCACCGCAGAGGGGCAACAGGGTGGCCGCGGTCCCGCCGCGCCGGGTGACAGCACTCGCGGCCCCGGTGCTTGCCCTCCGTCCCGCGGCTGCCCCCCTCGCCCTCGGCCCCCCGTGCCGCGGAGCAGTGCCGGCTCCGCGCCCTGCGGCACCGGGACGGGGGTTCTCAGGTGGGGAGACCCCGGGGCCGCCGCCGCCCCAACACTTGGAGCCGCGGGGCCCCCCCCGGGCCGTGGGGGGGGGGGGGGGGGGGCTCTGCCCTTCCCCGCGCAGCGCCGTTCCTCCCTGTCAGGGCGGGCGCCAGCCCCTCCGCTCCCCGCCGCCCGAGGGGAAAGGACGCGGGTGGGCCCCAGCCCACCTTCCATCGCACCTTGCCCACCCCCCCCCACCCCACACCCCCCCCCCGCCCCCTCGAGGATCAAGTTCACGCCCGACCCACCGCTGCGGGGCCAATGGGGCAGGGGCCCATTTCCATACGGCCCGGCCCGGCCCGGCCCGGCCCCGCCGCCCTCAGAGGCCCCGGCGGCGCCGCAGCAGGGAGGCAGCGGCCGGCGGGCGGCCGGGCCGAGCCCCGCAGCCCCGCGCATGGAGCCCTAGGGCGGCGGGCAGCATGTTCAGCCCCGACGGGGGGCTGCCGGCCGCCCCCTTCGGCCTCCTGCCCGACGCCGGGCCGTCCTTCCCCCGCGGCGGCTTCGACGGGGCGGCCGCCCAGCCGCTCTTCTTCCCCTTCGCCGCCGAGCCCGAGCCCCCCCGCGACCCGCCGCCGGCCCGCGCCTGGCTGCCCCCGCCCGCCGGGCCGCCCGCCAAGGCGGAGGCGCGCCCGGGCCGGCCCTGCCGCCAGCCCTCGCCCGAGCCCCGCGCCGCGGCCTGCTGCGGCCCGGCCTGGCCCCCCCCGCCCTGGGCCGGGCCCGCGCCCCCCGGCGCCGCCAGCACCGCCCTGCCCGGCCCGCCCTTCCCCGGCCCCGCCGCCGCCGCCTTCCCCGGCCCCCAGGTCTGCCCCGCCGCGCTGCAGCCGGGCTCCGGCGGCCTCTCCGGGCTGGGCAGCAGCGGCAGCTCCAGCGGCGCCGCCAGCGAGGGCGGACACTCCAGCGACAGCGGCGACGAGGTGAGACCCGACGGGACGGGGACGGGGACGGGGACGGGGACGGGCCCGTCTTCCGCCCAGCGGACACCGGGGGAGCCGCGCTGCCCTCCGTGCCAGGGAGCCGAGCCCGGGCTCGCTGCCGCGCCGCCCCGTCGGGGCGGGGAGCCCGCCGGTGCCGTCCTGCCGGGCCGCTCCGCCGCTGCTGCCCCCGGGAGGAGCCCGAAAGCGGCCCCGACGTGTCCCAGCGCTGGGGCTCGTCCCGGCTGGGTCGGCCGCTCCGCGGGGGGAGCGCGCCTCGAGGAGCCTGCTTTGGGGTGAGAAAGGTGATTCTGGGGACTTGATGGGGGGGACAGCTTTCCCCCGTGATGACCGTGCCCTGTGGCCGTCCCCGGCCCGGCTCAGGCGGGGTGCTGGGGGCAGCGCAGCGCGGTCACCCCGGGACCTGCCCCGCCGCAGCCCGGCTCCTGGCAGCCCCCTCCGGCCCCCGGCGTGCGGGCACGGAGGCTGCTCCCCCGGGGCTCCGACGGCGGCCGGGGCGCGGGCAAAGCCAGCACGGGGGCAGAGCGGCAGCGCTGGGTATGGGCATGACTGGCGGTTGCGTTTTGGGATTTAGTATTTTAAGCTCTTGGTATAATATAAACCCGTCCCTCCCGGGCAAGCGCGCCTCCGGGGCAGCAGCGGCAGATGATGCCGGGGTTGACTGCAGAGTTGCAGCGAGCTAGTTGCGGGTGTGCCGTCTGGGTTGGCGTGGAGCTGCTGCCAGGGACTTGCCGCGGGGGTTCAGGAGCTCCCACGCACGCCACGGCGGGAGCGGGGAGGGATGCGCGTGGCCCCGGTCGCAGCCCGCTGCACTGGGTTACGAGGAAATGGTTTTCCACGACTGAGGGAGGGTGAGGATTGCCCCGTGGCAGGGATGCTCCGGGCTTCTTGCTGCCGATGTAACGCCAGGAATTAAAAGCCGAGACTGGGTGGTAGGAGGGATGCCTGAGAAACCCGAAATTGCACTGCAAATGTGGAAGTCTGGTAAAAGACTGCAAAATCTCCTCGCAGCGGTTGAAGGCTGCGCTGCAGGGAGGAAGGGAAGCACCTGGATAAGCAGCTTTCCAGAAGGGAAAAGAGCCTGTCTGTGGCAAAGAGGTGTTTGAATCCCACTCGAGTCATGGGCGCTTTCATAGTTCACTTCATTTGAGCCATTTCACCTGCCCTGGTCGCATGCGGGAGGGGGGCCGGCGAGGGGCTGCCCCATGCCCGAGAGCCGTGCAGAGGTGGCTGCCCATGCCCCAGGTGGCTGAGCCAGTGGGGACACATCGTGGGATGTGTGGGAGTGGGACAATGCTGCAGCCATCAGGAAATGTGCCCATCAGTGCTGCCTCTGGTCGGGTCATAAGGGGCTGAGCCTGGGGCCAAAGGGGACATGGCCAGGGCATGTTGGGGCAGAGCAGGAGCTCCGATTGCTCCCCCGACCTTCTTTCTGTCCCCAGGTTCATGTGCCACCCTGGGCCTCTGCCATGCCAGCACGGTGTGAGCTGGGCCGTGTGCTGTGATGGGAGGGGGGTGTCCAGGGGCTCCTGCATGGGGCAGGGCTGGATGGAGGCACTTTGGGATCCCTGAGCAGAGCCCCTTGTAAAGGTGATGGTGAAACACCTTCTGCCACCCACCCACCCACCCCATCACCCCGAGGTGGCAGTGGCTGGTGGGTGTTTGGTGCTGAGCCTGTTCCTGCCTCCAGCCCTGTTCCACGCTGACCCCAACACATGGGCAGACCCCTCTCTTGGCAGCCCCTGGGTGTGAATTGTCCCCCTCTCAGTTTATCTCTGCCCCTGCCAGGATGCACCAACCTCAGAGGAGCTGGAGCAGTTTGCCAAGGACCTCAAGCACAAGCGCATCATGCTGGGCTTCACCCAGGCTGACGTAGGGCTGGCCCTGGGCACCCTCTATGGTAAGAGTCCTTTGTCTCCCCCTTACCCCTGGGGTGAAGGGAGAGGCCTGGGAGGGGGGATGGGGCAACTGAGCAATGGAGAGTTCTGCTCCTTAACGACCTAAAAAGGAGGTGGTGAGCACCAGCCCCAGGGCCCTGTTAAGTATTCCCTCAAGCTGGAAGGGTTTGATAACAAGGAACTGGTTTAAAATAACTACAGCTGCTTATTGGGGAGTGTTTCAGTGCTTTAAATCCCTGCTGAAGCAGCGGGGAGAATGCCTTTCCTGGTCCCCCATCCCCCAGGGACTGGGGATGCTGGAGGGGTGGATGCTGGGGGGCTGCTGGAGCAGGGAGATCCCCCGGCGCGGGGGCAGGAGCGGTGTGTGACGCCCTGCCTGCCCGTGCAGGGAAGATGTTCAGCCAGACGACCATCTGCCGCTTCGAAGCGCTCCAGCTCAGCTTCAAGAACATGTGCAAGCTGAAGCCACTGCTGCAGCGTTGGCTCAACGAGGCGGAGAACACTGACAACATGCAAGAGGTACAGGGCTGGGGAGGGCTGGGAGTCGGGGGTCCTGCACACCAATGAGCCCTCAAGCTGCAGCTTCTCCCTTGTACACTTGCTTTTTGGGAGAGAGAAGGGGATCTGCAGGCATCTTGTGCCACAGCAGCATCTTGCTGCCATGGCTTCAGCGTGGCTGTAGAGGGAACCATACTCACTGATACTGCCTTCTGCCAGGCTGTGGGGAGCCCAGATCCCCCCACAGACACCTTGTGATAACTGTGACAACTCCAATCTTGGAGCAGCCAGGTCCTGCTGGAAGCTTAGATAAACTGAAAATGCAGCTTGCTGCTCTCTGGGGAGCCTGAAGGGATGCAGGGGGATGTGTCCACAGCCCCCCTGCATGAGCCACAGGCAGTGCTGGAACACTGGGAATGGCCCCAGTCACAGTGGGATGATGTTCAGTGGACAGTCATGGGGACAAAGCCTGTCCCCATCCCTCCCAGACCTTTGCAACCAGCCACACGTGTGTGCAGAGCCTGGTGAGGACATTGCCAGCCCTGTGACCAAGTGCGTGGCCTCTCATGTTAACAGATGTGCAATGCGGAGCAAGTGTTGGCCCAAGCCCGGAAGAGAAAACGCAGGACCAGCATCGAGACCAATGTGAAGGGGACACTGGAGAGCTTCTTCCGCAAGTGTGTGAAGCCCAGTCCCCAGGAGATCTCCCAAATTGCCGAGGACCTCAACATGGACAAAGACGTAGGTTGGAAGGGTGGGAGGGTTTGGAGGGTGGGTGCCCAAATGGCTGTGGTTCCTGAGCCACTCTTGTGGGCCAGTTTGATACTGGAAGCTGTGGGAGGGTGGCTGTGGCTGGTAGCCACCGTCAGCCTGTCCGAGCCCAGCCCCAGGAGAAGCTGTGGCAGGGAGGGGTCTGTGTTAGTGGATTGGGGTGCTGTGGAGAGGCACCAGCAGAAAGTGGTGGCCTCTCCACAGCACCGGGGCTCACCCCCTCACCTTTCCCCATCTCCCCTCCCTCCCAGGTGGTCCGGGTCTGGTTCTGCAACCGGCGTCAGAAAGGCAAACGGCTGCTGCTCCCCTTCAGCAACGAGGCAGAGGGGGCCATGTATGATATGAACCAGTCCGTGGTGCCCACTGGCCTGCCCATCCCAGTGACGTCCCAGGGCTACAGCCTGGCGCCCTCCCCTCCCGTCTACATGCCGCCTTTCCACAAAGCCGAGATGTTCCCTCAAGCGCTGCAGCCTGGGCTTTCCATGAGCAACAGCAGCCACTGAACCGGGGGCTGCGGGGGCTGGTGGCGGTGCCGCCCCAACGCTGCGGCTGGGCTGGCTCTCTGGGGGCAGCTTCCCCTCCACTTTGCCCTGAGAAGGCACAGGCACGGCCCCACTCCCGTTCCCAGGGCCTGCCTTAGGGCTTTTGGGGTGCCTTAGGGCTTTTGGGGTGCGAGGGGCAGGGGAAGGGCTGGGAGCCTGGCACAGGGATGGTGTCTGCTCTCTGCGGTTGCTCCCAGCCCTTCCCAGTTATATGTGAGTTTAGTTGTCCCAGCAGCATCGGCCCCCCTCTAACCTCTCCTGGGGGGCAGCTGCTCCTGCCCCACTGCCCCCCACCAAAGCCACACATGCCTGGGGCGCTGAGCGGAGCCACCTGCGCCCGGCCCCAGCCAAGCTGCTCTCCTGCAAAACCCAGAAAAAGTATTTTTTAGATTTTTTGGGGGGTGGGGTGGGTGGGTGGGGGGGGAGGGGGGTGGTTTTATTTTTTTAAAATGGTTTTTGGTTGTAGTTTTAAAAAAGCAAAAATTTTTGTAGTGATTGCTAGTTTCCCAGGTGTCTCTTCCCTGTCACGTAGAGCAGGGCTGGGGTGCTGTGCCCAGGGCCAGGGTCCCCGGCGGCTCTGCCCACCCTCCCAGGCAGCCGGGCTGAGCCAAGGGCTGGAGCGTGGGGCTGGAGCAGAGCCCTGGAGGAGAGCCCTCACAGCCCCAGCCTCCCCTTGCCCTGCAGCGCAGGAACACCTCACCTGTCCATGCGCAGGCTGGCAGGGCTTGTTTTGGGGGGGGGGTGGTGTGGGATGGAGATCCTGCCTGGCCCTTGTGCCCAGCATCACCCTGGGTCCCCTGTGCCCTCTCCAGCTGCTATCCCTCTGCCCCAGCCCAGGGACCATCTTTCCCCGGGGAGTCCCAGCCCAGGGGGGTGAACACCGTCCTGTCCATGCTGCTAGCACCCCCATCCTGTCCATGCTGCTAGCACCCCCGTGCTTTTGAGCCTGCTGTAGTTGATGATTATTTTTTGTTTGTCTTAATCATATTCCCTCTGGCAATGGAATAAATCTCAGTTCTTTGGGGCATGAGAGTGAGTTAACCCTTTCCTTGCACCCTGGCTCCTGCACGCTGCCAGGCAGCCCAGCAGTGAGGGTTTGGCTGTGGGGGGGGGCATGGTGGGGCTGGATCGGTGCATGCAAATAATGCTGACCTGTTCCCGTGGTGCCAGCAACACCTGGCCCTTGGGTGCCACAAGCCCAGCCCACCATCAAGAATGGTGATACCAGCTTGTCGAGGCTGTGCCCCCCCCCTCCAAAGCAGAGGTAGTCAGGAGTGTTGGGGGGTCACCTTCCACCCAGTTTGAGCTGTTTTTTCCACAGCTGCTATGGGGGAGGGTGGAAGCCCAGTGGGATCTTGCGGGCTGCTCCAGTGGATGCTGTGGACAGGGAAGGACCAGGTGGGGATGTAGTGGGAGCTGACAAGCTCCCAGCCCCTGGGGTGGGCAGGGGAGAGTTATGGGAAGCCTGGGCTGTCCCTGCCAAGAGGCTGCCAGCAGGCAAGGGACGTTCCACGCTCCTGTGTGCGTGGTCCAGCTGAGGCAGCCTGGCGGTGGCCATGTGGGGTGGTGCCAGCCGAGCCAGGCAGGTTGGGGTGGGCACCAGGAGCTGAGTTGGTGGGGATCAGAGGTGCCAGCCCAGCCAGGAGAAGTGCCTGGGGAAAACACCTCCCTTCTCACTGCCATTGCCTCTGCAGCCTGGTTTGCCACCAGCCTCTGCCCGCCCAGGGGTTCTTCCCCTGAGCAGAAGCAAGGAAATTACCAAGCCTGTAAGGAAACTACTGAATAGCTCTTCTGCCAGTAAAGGACGTGTTTGGCCTCCAGGGCCAGCCTGCTGCCTTGCTGGCAGGGGCTGGGCAGGAGCGGGGTCGCTGCAGGCAGCTGCTTGCGGGGCACTGTAGGACCGTGCAAAGGGCTGGGGTGCACAGTGGCCTGGATGCCAGCCCCACGGGGTGGGATCCCCTTGGCTCACCCTGTGTCCCCACTTTCTTCAGCACCTGGGTGCCCAGGCCACATCCCTTGCCTGGCTGCAGGCTGGAGGCAGAGCCAGGCACAGCACCCGCTGGAAACTGCCCCCCACTGCCACTGCTGCCCTATACTGCCTTAGTGCTTTGGGTGTCGGGGGGTGGGGGTGTTGGAGGCTGGCTCTCAGCAGGGTAGGTAGTGGAAAGACTGGGAAGGATGTCACGTCCCTAAGGTTTGCTTATCCACATTTCTACCATCTGATTTTCCGCTCCAGCCAAAGGCCAGCCAGGCAGGAGCCCCGGCCTCCCATGGGATCCCCAAATCCCACTGCCCTAGTGCCCTGCCTACAGCGCTCAGCCCCGCCTGCTCCATTTTCAGTTGACCCAGAAGACAAAATAAAACAGAAATCGGAAGCCACAGAAGTCTGAAGAGCACAGTGTGCCCATCAGACAGCAACCCAACAGGGACTGGGCTGGGTGAGCGGCTGCTGGGGACATAGCAAAGCGCCAACATGGGGCAGGAATTGTCCCCTCTGCTGGGGGGGTGTCGCTGCACTCCTGAGCCCCACCACACCCTGGGCACGGGGGGCAGGTCCTGGAGGACACTCAGCAGCTCGTGGGGTGGCAGGGGTGGGTCTGGGCAACTTCAGGGCTGCGGTGAGATAAATCAGGGGAAATCTGTAAAAAGTTTGTATCAAGGGGGTTGGTGACACTTGAGCTGGGGGGCACACAGTGAGGGGCATGGAGCAAGGCACAGATGGAGCAGTCACGTCCCACCCCCTGGTCCCGTCACCCAACCCTGACATTGCCACTGATCCCAGATGGGTGCTTCCCCTCGGGGGTGCCTGGACGTTGCCCATGCCCAGGGTGCAGGGGGTGTGTGCTGCAGGGTGCCCACAGTGCCATGTGTGCATGGCACACGGTCCAGCACTCCAGGGTGCCAGTGGTGCAAGCACCTGGGGTGGATGGAGCGTGCATGGCGCAGGGCATGCGGGCCTTGGCACTGTCAAGGACACACGGTGCAGGCTGTCGGTGCCGCAGGGTGCCCACAGGACCGGCTTTGCTCTGGGTTTGCTGCAAGGCTCTGGAACCCACCACCTCGCTGGCTTCCTGCTGCAACAGGGCAGGCGTGCCGGCAGGGGAGTGAGAAACCACAGCATCCCTCTCTGACTCAGCCTGGCACTGAGCAGGCTGAGATTGCCCTCGAGAGCATCCGGTGTCCTGCCGGTCCTCACCAGCACAGTGACATCCACAGTTTGAGAGTGGGGGTGGGTGGGGGAAATGGGTGCTGTCGGCCTGTGCTGGGAAGTAGCGGAGCAGAGGCTGTGCTTTCTGCCCCTGCTGCAGGGTGATGGGCTCCCCCCAGCTGCCCTGAGCTCAGCTCCTTCACCTCAGCCAGAAATGTCACCATGGGGCCTCTGTCACTGGGGCTTTGCCACCCAGCAGAAGGTGCTGGGATGGGGCATAGAGCGATCACAGGGGAAGACTGGGGAGCCCTGAGCCCCCCGCCTCTGCCCAGTCCTCTGCCCTGCCCAGCCCTCGCACCACAGGCAGGGCCTCTGCAGCACTGTGTCGTTTATTTCCAAAGCACCCTCTCATCCTGTCAGCACCCTGGTGAAGTAGGTCAGTGATGGGTCTTTGAGGGGGGGTGATGTTAGTCCCATTTTGCAGGAAATGAAGTCACACAAAGTTGCTCAAGGTCTCAGTGTGGCAACAGCCAGTCTGGGAGGAGAGGTTGGGGCTCCCATATCCCCCTCTGCTCCATGTTCTGGTCTGTAGGAGGGTGCCCCACGCTCTCCCCACCCCTGCATCCTCTGCCCAATGGTCCCCGCACATACCACCCCATACTAGGTGTTGAACCATCTTTCCAGGTTGGGATAGACATGGCCATGAGGCAGGCTGGGATAGGCCATGCAGATGGTGCAGATTCGCTCCCTCCAGTCGGTGTAGAGCTTCACGCTGTACCTCTTCTGCCAGGCAAAGAACTGCTGGTAGCGGCTGGAGTTCATGGTCTTCAGGAAGGTGGCCAGCTCTGCCAGGGAACCAAAGTCATCGACGTGAATGAATGAGTCTGCAGGAATGAACTGCTCATAGTTGGCCCGGGGAGGCCCCAGCACCACGGGCACAGTGCCAGCCATCAGCGAGTTCCTCCAGAGCTTCTCAGTGATGTAGTCCTTGTGGATGGAGTTCTCAAAGGCCAGGTAGAACTTGGACTTGGATGTTGTTGGCAAGAGGCAGTCCTTGCAAAGTGGCTTTTTGTTTGCTTTCCCGTATATGTTCACATGGAGGTATCTGGAGAGGTTTTTGTAGACTTCAGCTCTTTTCTGAGCCCTGTGGTAGTTGCTGATAACCCAGGACACCAAGTTGGTCTTTTCAGGGATGTTCACAGTGGCTGACTGGTTGGACACAAGCTTGCCATAGGGGATGAAGATGTCCGAGTCCCGTCTGTAGGTCATCACCCAGTTGAAGGTCTGGTTCCACCTCTCTAGAGCTTTAGTATTGGAGGGGGACTCCAGGGAGACCCACACCCAGTGCTGCCCTGGCGGCTTCTCCTTGGGCAGCCTGTCCGTGCCAGGCTGGAGCCTGGTGTGGGGGAACACCACCACATCTGCCCGGCCCAGCAGCCGCTGCTCCGTGGTGAGCCAGCAGCCTGCGATGCCGTACAGCTCACGACAGACGTCCCCGCTGACATTGGGGGCCTGCCTCGAGGGCCATTCCCACACCAGGACCACAAGCGGCTCAGTGTGCTTGGGGGCTTCTCTGGAGAACTTGCCGGGGTTGAGGAAGCATCTCAGGTTCCAGAGGAAGGTTGCAAACAGCCCAGCGGTGACCACCGCCTTCACACCAGGCCGGCCCCATGGTGGCCGTGTCAGCAGCGATGCCCGGGGCATTCTGCTGGACTGGCTGTCACTTCAGCTGGCACCTGGGAGAGAGGAGAGGCTACCAAGGGCCGTCAGCTCAGCTTGCTGTGGGCAAGGGGTGGTGTAAAGCGCTAGGGCCAGAGGGGATGGAGAAAGGGCTTCTCCATGAAACCTGAGCTCCAGTATCACCCCTGGCCCCTCTGGCAGCCCCTGGCCCCCCTTCCAGGGTCCCCGTGCACCTAGTGTCACCCCACAGTGGCTTTTGTGTCACCCCCCTGCTGTGGATGCTGCCAAAGGGAGGTACAGAAACAGTGGGCAGCAGCCACCTTTCCCCCCTCCCCAACTGTCTGGCACCACTCCCCGTGACATGCATGAGGGATGCAGTCCTTGGTACTTGCTCCATGCCTCAGTTTCCCCACCTGACAAACAGTCACGGTCCCACTCCACCCTTCTTGTTTTGCCTGGGGCAGGTCAAGCCTGAAACGCAGCTAGCTTTGCCACAGCCAGGCTCCGAAGGAAGGTGTCTGGGGATTTACAGGATGGGACCACACACCAAAGGGCAAGGGCAAACATCCTGGCTCCCAGCTGCGAACTGGGGTGTTCCTGGGAGTGACTGGCTCAGGGTGCTCTCCCCAGCCACCAAGGACACGGGGAGCCCCAGCAGGCTGGGAGCTTGCAGCCTCGGTGCCCCAAATGCTCATATTTTATTCTCGGGGTGTCACAGATGGCCAGTGCCTCGCAGGCAGGGCAGGGCGAGCAGTGTGGGCAGGGAGCCATTTGGGGCTGCCGCTGGTGGGGCTCAGCTCGCAGGCACATGGGAACACGAGATGCTCTCCCAGCCACAGTGCCCATCTGCCCGCCTCAGGCCCCCGCCGGCAGTGCTGTGCTTTAACCAGGAAGCAGAGCGCAGTGATGGGGGCAGCGAGGGGGACGCTTGGCTAGGCTGGGGACCAGCCACCAGCTTAAGCCCACCTGGCAGTGCTGGTCCCAGGCGCAGGGCTCAGTGCCTGCAGGCCATCCATGGCGTTTGGCACCAAAAGCGGTTTCCCTTTTAAGGTAACCTCTGAAAACACATTGGCTGCCCAAGCCCCACTGCTGGCCAGGGCTGTGCTGGTTCCACTGCAACTTTAGAGCCTCCCGGAAAGTGGTGCCCTGCTTTCCCACCCCAGCTGCTGCAGCTTTGCTGCAAAAAATCCCTTCACTGCCTTGGCCCTCTCTGTCTGTCCCACTAAAATACATGTGCTAAGTTTAGGCTCCAGAAAAACCTGGCATCCAAAGCGGGGAGGGTTGGGAAAGCTTTGTCGGCTCCCCGCATGGCACACTGGTGCTTCGGGTGTCTCTGCCCGCCTGTCCCCAGCAGTGGGGATGCTTCCCCTGTTTTTTAATGATGCCCTGGGAGGGGATACCCCACTCTGGCAGTGCCAGGAGCTGACCCGTTTCTCAGCACCTCTCCCTGCTGTGGGCAGTGGTGCTGGGCTCAGACTTACCAGGGAAGGACTGGCGTGGCGGCATGCGAGGTGTCTGTGCGCATCTGCCCAGGCAGCTGCTGGTACTGGGCTAGGACACTCGAGGGCTTCCTCTTTTCTGCGGTTTTGCCTCGTCCCGGCCCCACAGCGGGTCCTTCCTGCCGCGCATGGCAGCTGGCACAACCCACTCCCAGCACTCCCCCTGCACTGCACAGGCAGCGATGTGACCCATGGCTGGGGGGCTGCTGCATGGCTGAGCATGCACCCCATAGATGTGTGGGTGCCTCGATCCACTGGCCAGGCTGTGGTCTTCCGAGGTACTCGTCCCTGCTTTGAGATTTGTGGGATGGCCTCGTGTCTCTGCACTGCACCAGGGCTCTCTGGCACTTACCGTGGTGTGGGACGGTCCCCTCTCAAGCTGGCAGGGACTGGGTCCGTGCCCACACTGGCCACCTTCTCTGACAGGGTTCCTGGGTTCCTGCCCCCATGGCAGAGGGGTGCCAAGGAACAGGGAGGAGGCACGTGGTGGCCCAGAGGAGGGGACAGTGGGTGGATATCCCAGACCCACAATGAGCCCTGCCACCCCACCCTGTCCTTGGGCACCCAGCCCTGCAGGGCAGGGTGGAGGCAGGGTCCTGAGCCCCAGTGGGCTGCTCTGCCTGTGGCACTCCTGCCTGCACTGCAGGCTGCTGGAGCCATGGCCGTGCAGGGGGTAAAGCTGCCCAGCGGGGCTGTGCTGAGCCCCTGGGGCAGCTCTACGAGCTGGCAGCTTTGTGCCAAAGCACACCCCACAAATATTCTTTCACTGAGACCACTGATACGTCATTATTATTATCATTATCATTATTAGTATTAGTATTAGTATTGCTATTATTAGTATTGAAAGCAGGATTGTTGGGTCTGGCTGTGCATCCCTGGCACATGCAGCTCCCTCCAAAATCACCCAGGAGTAGCTGAACAGCAAGATGCTCATTTGGATCAGACTGGAACAAGGTGCTTCCTCAGCATTTGCTGCTGCCCCTGGCAGAGCTGTCTGAGATGGAGGCAGCATCAGCCCCAGAGCCTCAGCCTGGCACTGCCACTGCCACCGTCTGTGCCCATGGCAGCAGGGTCATGGGCGATTCCCTCCTCGCGGGTGCTGGGAAGGAGCCAGCCGCCTTGCCCAAGTGCATGTGCTGGGGTCCGAAAGCCCTGCCTGCGCTGGGATGGGGGCAGGCCCTGCCCTCAGCCTCGCCAAGGTGCCTCCCAGCTGCCACCCAAAGCCTGGTTGAAAACAGGATGCACACCAACTTTGACTCCCACTGACTCATCTTGAAACCATCAGCTAAAGTGGCACCAGCAGCTCCTCAGTGCTGCCAAGCCCCGGGCACCTGCCCTGGTTGGGCTGTTTTCTGCCAAAAGGGGAATTGGGCATGTGTGTGCCACAGCAATGTCTGCATGGAGAGCTGCCTCCCATGTCCAGGCTGTGGATCTGTCCCTGTCCCAGTGTGACTACGTGTTCAGTTGTTTTCTTTGCTGGAATTGCTGTCTGGGCACCAAGCCTCGCCAAAAACCCTGGCGGGAGAAAAGAGATGGGGAAACTGAGGCACGGGTGGAGAGGGGAGCCCTGAGGCATGCAGTGCTGTCCCTGGAGCTGGCAGGGGCATGCGCTGGCACACCCAGAGCTGCGCGTGGGGCCCCGAACTGCTCTCTGGGGGTCCTTGGGCTGCTCAAGCACCCCTGGGGTCTTCACCCCTCACTGCACCCTTGCTCCTGCCAGCTGCCCGGATCCTGGGGACAAGGATGGCTGCAGAGCTGGCGGTGAGGCAAGGGGCCGGGGCAGTGGCTGGGCACAGTGCCATGCCACCATGCTGGGGCGTAGCAGGGCTCTGTGGTTTCAGTGCTGCCCTGGGAGCCCTCGGAGGCCAACTGCAGCTCTGGGGCTGGGTGTTTTTTCCTCCCCAGCCATGTCCCCTGTTTCCTGTTATCTTTTCTAACCCCCTTTCTGCATTTCTTCCCCTACATGATCGAAAGCCCAGATACCAGGCGCTGCACAGCCCACAGGGCACAGTTCCCAGCCTGACTTGCCCCAAGCCTGCTGGCTGCAGGCAGCACTCCCTGCCTGGTTGGAGCTGCCAGCAGTGTCCCCACAGCTGTCCCCAGCCCCCCCTGCATGGCCCTGGGGACCAGGCCCACACAGGACGTGGTCGTTCCCCTCCGTAGAGGACAGCAGCAGGGACAGCATCTGCCACAGGGCTCTCACGGGGGCTGTGGGATGGGTGGTGGAGCAGGAGGGAGCTTTTTCCTCAGCACCTGCAACCAGGTGCTGTCCCAGGACAGCCTGGCAGCAGATGATGCTCTGGGTGGTGGTGGTGGGGCACTTGCAGTCAGTGGGTCCAGCCACCCTGACCCCCGAGGCCCAGGGACATGGCAAGATGGTGCCAGAGGCTGGGGCTGGCTAATTGCTCCAAGCCGTGCTGGGAGCCAGGGTCAGCTCTGCTTGGGTGGGCTGGGCAGAAGCCCCCAGTGCCCAGGGCCATGAGACCGGCAGGTAACACCAGATGGCACCAGCACAGAGCAGGGAGCTTTGTGTGGGTGGGTGCTGCCATCTGCAGATGACGACACACAGAGAGAGGAGCTTGGCCACCCTGCAAGGAACTCCCCTGAGTGGGGGGGAGGCCTCCTCAGGGCCCGGGGTCCACAGAGGAGATGGGCCACTGAGTCACTGGGGCTGTGCTGCCCCATGGCATGCTGCTGGGCCTGTCTCTTGCTGGCCCCTCGCGGAGTTTTGTGGTTGTGCCAAGGAGAAGAGGAGCTGCAGAGCTCACTAAGACCCACCCAGGAGGGGAGGGAGGCGGGAGATCCAGGTCACTGCTCACAGCACCCCGTTGCCCACAGCCCCACCCGTGATGCTCTCCCCTGTGCCCCTCCAAGCTGGGGACCCGCTCTGCTGAAGGGTAGGGTTTTCTGAGGTGTTTCTAGTGTGGGGTGGGGCCAACCCATGTGCAATCCCTTGGGAGGAGCCAAGGGTGCATGCATCCGTCCTTCACCAGGGACCAAGTAAAAGCCACTGCTGGAGCGAGGGCTGGACAGCCCATTGGCTGAACCCCCACAGCTCAGCTTACCTTGACACCAGATCTGAATACCAGATGGTATTTCAAAGCCAGCAAACCTCTGGGTCATGACAGTGCAGCAACCCCAGGTTACTCATGGTAGCGGGGTGCAGATGGAAAGGTGCGGAGCCAGCCCAGGCCACCCCCCTGCAAAGCTCCCCTTGATGCCAGGCAGCTCTGCTGCCCACACACCTGCCTGCACCGCCCTGCAGCCCTTCCAAACCAGCTGCCCTCCCCAGGTCACAGAGCCGGGGCAACATAGTGCCTCTCCACCACCGCATCCCCCGGGGCATCCCTCGTCCTCCTTCACCTCCTCACAGTGAGTCACCCAGAAGTTTTTTGAGTAATGGCGCTTTGTGGCAGGACAAGGGGAGCTTTTGTTAGTGCCTGGACAGCTGTTGCAGAGCCTGCCCAAAACACAGTCACCCTTGGCAACACCACTGGGGGCTGGGGCAGCCAAATGAGTTATTCACAGCTCCTGGCTGCACTTGGCCCTGAAAGCAGCATGGAGACTGGGATGGTTAAGAGGCAAGGGGGTGAAGGAGAGAGGTGGCTACTGACAGCTGGGGGGCAGGGAGGGACAGGTCCTGAAATGAAGAGAACCAGAGGAATGGGAAGAGGGAGGGAGGAAAGGAGGGAGTGAGAGAAGGATGGAAGGAAGGAAGAAAGCTGGCCTAGTTCAATGCTTACTGCTGTTGAGTGCATCCTTCCCAGAATTGGAGTCACAGCTGGGTGGGGGGGTACAGCTTGTTGCAGGCGGGCTGGTCCCCTCCAAGAACACATGTGGACACCCCACCACCCGTCCGTGGGATCAGTTGGGCAGGAGCTGCAGGCAGCTGGGACTGAGCGGGGCCGCCAGCAACCGGCGTGTGGGGACAGCGGTGCCACCACCTTCGCCCGCAGACCTCCGCAGCCACCAGCCGCCCTGAAGCAAGTCTGTCCTGGAGGGGCAACAGTGGAGGGGAGGCGGGTGACCCCCCTGCGCCTCTGGTTTGGGGAGGAGCAGGGGCAGCTCCTGGGGAGCGGGGGCTTCCCGCGCTCGGCAGCTCCCCGGGGCAGGCAGCCCGTTCCCGGGCAGACGCGGGTGCCGCAGCGGCCGGTGTCCCTCGGCTCGGGGCCTCGGGATCCACCGGGAAATCCCCGGGAGCCCCCCCCGGCGGGATGACAGTGCCCTCCGGGCCCGGCAAAGCCCTGAGCGGCGGGGGGGGGGGGGGCCCCGGCCCGCCGGAGCCTTTAAGGGGCGGCGGCGGGCGGGCGGCCCCGGCCCGGGGGCGGTGCTGCGCAAGGCCGGGCCGGCCGGGCCGCTGCCGGAGCCGGAGCCGGAGCCCGTCCCGCTCCCTCCCTCTCTCCTTCCCGCTCCCTCCCTCCCTCCCTCCCTCCCTCCTCCCTCCCTGCTGCGGACAAAGGCGGCGGCCCGGTGGGGAATGGCGGTGGGCGGCGGGTGATCCGCGGAGCCGAGCCGGGGGGGGGGGGGAGCCCCTGCGGCGGGGCTGGGCCTGGCCCGGCCATGGGGTTCCTGCACCAGCTCCATCTCCTGCTCTGGAAGAACGTGACGCTGAAGCGGCGCAGCCCGGTGAGCAGCGGGGGCGGCGGGGCCCCGGCGGGCCGGAGCTCCCCCCCCCCCCCAGCTGCCGCCGCGGGGGGCGAGGCGAGGCTGCCGGGTGTGGGGGGGGGTGTGGGGGGGGTGTGGGGTGTGCTCCGCGGGGAGCCCACGGGGCGGCAGGAGGGACGCGAAGCTGCCCGCTCGCCCCCCGAGGGCTGGGTCTCCCCCCCCCCCCCCGCGCTGTCCTCCCCCCGCCACCACGCGCCCTGGGGGCGGGCGGTGCGTGGGGTGGCAGGTGCGATGGGTGCTCGCGTGGGGCTGTAGGGAGGAAGAAGCGTGGGCATGAACCCCCGGAGCGGCCGAGGACCGCCCGGCTGCCACCCGGCCCCGGCGTGGGCCCCGCCTGTCAGCTCCCCTCGTGGGGCAGCAACAGTTGGGTCTCTCCTGCCCCGCTCCCACCCCGTGTCCGTGGGAGCCATCCGGGCCCTGTGGCCGCTGGAGGAGCCCAGGCCCGTGGGCTCGGTGCTGTCTCCCACCCAACCCTCTGCCCTGGGCAGCATCTCCTTCCCCACCACTGCCTGCCCTCCTGTCCTAAAGGCCCCGTGCGCTCCCCAGCCCGGTCCCCGAGCCCCGGGGCTGACCCTACGGGGAGGGAGAGCTTTCCCCAAGCCCTCAGTATCCACGGGCTATAAATAGGTTTCCAAATCATATGTGGGTCAGAGCTGCCTCTTTGTGGGCTGGAGAGGAGCTGCTCCCACTTTCTGAGGGTGAGGCCGAGGAGCGTGGGGTTCCCCGGGGGGCTGGTCCCCTCCCAGGGGGGGCCGAGCGGCACTTTCCCTGCCAGGGTTGTGAATACGGTCTGACCCTGCCCTGCCTGGCAGCTCCCGGGCAGGGTTCCCTGCCAAATCCTGCCTGACAGGCGGGAGGGACCCCCTCCGGGGGGGGACCCCCTCCGGGGAGGGACCCCCGGCCGCGGGGACCCCGGGCAGCGGTGCCGGCAGGGGGATGGGCGTGCTGGGAGGGAGGGAGATGGTTATTTTTAGAGGGTGGGGGAGGGTAACGAACTGCTGCTCCCGAGCTGGCAGTGCTCTCTCCTCTTCCCCCTCCCAAATATCCTGCAGGCTTGATCCTGCCTGCTTTCCCCCGCCGGCAGCGCTGGAGCATCAGGCCCCCCCCCCCCCGGCTGTCCCTGTGGCTGGGGCACCAGAGACCACCTGGGGCAGGGGTGGGCGTGGGCAGGGCTGCGCCGAGGCCTGCGTTGCAGGCGGGTGCCCCCCAAAATGGGTGAGGGGGATGATGCTCTTTGGCTGAGTCATCCCTGCTGCTTACCCTGAGCAGAGCTGAGTGGCCACAGTGAGGGGCTGCCCGGTGCCAGGGTGCTGTGGACCCCTGCCCCTGAGGGCGAGCTGGCTGGCACAGCTGTGCTTTGGCATCCACTGGCCCTTGGCCACTGACCCAGACCTGGCCACCGTGGCTGGTGGGATTACAAACTGGGTGTGCGCACAGCTTTTGGGGACCTGTTTCTCCCAGAGCCTCCCCAGCCCGGTGGGCAGCGTTAGGGTGCAGTGCAGGAAGCTGCAGCTGGAGGAGGAGGACAAGGAGCCCAGTCCTGATCACCCCCATGCGTGGGGAACATCACTGGAGTGCCCTGCTTGCTGCAGACAGGGAGTTGGGGGAAGGACCAGCACCTCCTCGCCCACCCAGTGATGCTATGCATGGATGGGGCAAGCAGAGAACCAGCCGTGTGCCGGAGTGAGAGCTCATGGATGGATTTGGTGCAGCCCCTGGGGTAGCCATGCCCTGAGGATGTTTGTGTCCTGTGTGTGCCACCTACTTCTTTGTGTTCCTGCTGCGTGCAAGTCCCACGGTCAGCTCCCTGTCTGGGCAAAGGGACATCATCCTGCCTGTGCCTGGGGGAGTGCTGCCCTCTCCCAGCAGCCCGAGAGCGCAGCTACTGGTGCTGGCAGGGCTGGTACAGCGGCAGGCCCCGTGCTGGAGCCTGGCCTCATCAGGCGTACCTTGCATGTTGGTGGGGCTCTTGGGGTGGGAGGAGGATGCACATGGGGTAGGGGAGAGCCACTGGTGGGTCCTTCAGTGTAGGTCTGCCCTGGCCCCATCCCAAGCTGGATGTTTCACCGAGTAAAAACACCTCCGTATCCCACCGGGCATATCTTGCTGCAGCAGGGGTTGATCCTGCTGTGGCAGGCAGAGGCTATAAGGGGATTGGAGCAGGGAGGGGGGTAACCATGAGACCCCTCCCCTGCTGGGGATTCACCACCGAGGTGTGGGTTGGAGTTGGGGGTTGCTGGGCATCTCCCAGGAGGAGTGTGGTGTGTGCCTTGCCCTACGAGCAGCTGCCTCTTAGCACAGTCCCATGTTGCAGGATGCTGTCCTGGGGTGGGTGCCTCATCATGGTGTGCTTTCCTCCCAGCAGTGGCCCTGGTACTGTGGGGTGGGATGGGGAGCAGATACTTGAGGGTTGGCTGAGGATGCTCGTCTGGGACTCGAGAGCTGGGGCCAGTCCCCTGCACTGCCCCTGAATGCTGGTGGCCATGGGGGGGTCGCCACCATCCCTGGCACCAGGGGCTGTTTGGGGGGCAGCATTGCAGCAAGGCGCAGCAGTGGTTTTGGGACAGACTTCATCCACAGGCACTTGGTGAGGGCTTGGCTGGTCGCTTGAGGATGCAGTAGTGGTGGGTACAGGGAGGCTGTGTGACCAGGTGGCCTTCAGAAGAGGTGTGTTCCTGTCCCACAGTGCCACGTGCCACCCGCTTCTGTAACCCCTTTTGTCACCAGATAAGCTTGCCTGCAGCCTGGTGAGGGTGATGGCTGGGTGGTGTCCCATGGCACCTCTGTAAGGTCTCATGCCCAGCCCATGGGAATGTTGGACTTTGCATGGCGTGGCTGAGCCATCCTGGGCACCACTCAGGGGTTTGGCTGTGATTTTATTCTTCCCAGGGCAGAAATTCAGGTAGGAGCCCTGGGGTGATGGGGTCTGATCAGAACAGCATCCGCAGCCCTTGGTGGAGGGAAGCCAGGACTGTGGGTACCTGAGGACAGGCAGTGCCCTGGGGCACCGGAGGCAGCCCTGGGCGGTGCAGGCTGCGTCACCTTGGCTCTACTAGGACGGGGGTGAGCTCAGTGATGTGTATCTTAAGGGATGGGCTCCCCAGTGACTTGGTAGCTGGATTAAACCTATGTCGGATGTAAAATTAACAGGTGATCGCTTGAAAGTTACCGCAGGCACAGTTCAGGGTGTTTAGTTGCCTTCCTTGTGGCTCTCTGTGCCCACATGTTTGGGACAGGAAGGTGACCACAGCTGGAGCTCCTGGCTCTGAAATGCTGGTGATGGAAGTGTGTTGCTGGGTTTTGTTTTGCCCTGGGGTGGTGTTGGCAGTTTGAGGCTCTTTCAGAGGAATGGTGAGCAGGAGTTGAGGCTCTGGGTACTGCTTCAGAGTTGCAGCGTGCTGGTGGGGCTCTTGGAGCGGGAGGAGGATGCACATGGGGCAGGGGAGAGCCAGGCAGCAGGGTGGCTGCTTCTCCCTGTGCAGGGTTTGTGCCTTCTGCTGCTCCTTGGCCAAGAGCTGGGAAGCTCCCACCATGTAAAAGAGTTGTCCTGGCAGGTCTGCCCTTTCCTCCCTGGCCAACGGGAGCAGGCCTGGGTGGATCTTGGTGCCTCCAAAGTAAGAAAGGCTGAAATTTGGGGTATTGGGGGTCTCACCCTGCTGCAGCAGCGCCTGTGCTGGGGTGCAGCATCCTTGGGGGACAGGACACCCTGTGCCTGTGGAGGTGCTGCCAGGTCCCGACGCCAGGGCTGGGTGGGGCTGGTGCTGGATCCTGCAGCAGGAATCGATCGGGCCTGTGCTGCCCCGGCTCAGGGTGCTCTTTGCCCCCGCACTGTTTGCAGCTGGTGCGGGGGAGAGGAGGGCGGGAGGTGCAGGCTTGGCAGGGTGCTGCCGGTGCAGCAGTGCCAGGCGATGTCCCTCTGAATCCCTGCTCACCGGGTGGCCGTGAGGGGCACCCGTTGTAGAGCAATTGGTGGCCACGGTGGTCCAGAGGGCAGGTGGCCATGAGCCACTGAGCCTGCAGGCCTCTGCCTTGCTCCATGCCTGTGGGGAGAGACTGTGGGGCAGCCACCACCTTCCTGCACACTGCAGCCACTGGCACAACCCTGCCTGCTCTCAGGCTGGGCACCCTGTGCCAGCGGGAGGGTGGCCACGTCCCAGTGTCTTGTGCTGGTGCAGGACTGCTGCTGGTGGTATGACCCCCTTGGCCCGGCACACTGGTGCCCAGATGGCGTGGGGGAGAACTTGTGCTCAGCTCTCCCTGGGCTTCTGGCTCTGGCCTGGTGGGACCGGGCTCAGGAGAAGCGTTGGCAAAACCCAGTGGGGTTTTCCTCCTCTTCCAGCTTCCCCAAGGCATGTCCCCAGGCTGTCAGGGCAGGGTGTGAAGTGTGGGGATGTGCCTTTGCTGGGTGCAGTTGGCAGTGGGACAAGAGTTGACCAGCATAACTTGCACTGAGAAAAAGTCTGAACAGAGGCAGGGGTGAGAGCAGCCAGACCTCGGTGGGGGAGTAGATAGCCCCTGCGCCCAGCCTTGGCGGTCCCCATGGGTAAGGCACAGGCGGGTGACCTCGGGGAGGCCTGGCTGGTGCCCAGATGGGTGGTGACCATCAGTGGGTGTCTGTGGTTGGGTCCCCACTGGGATGGGGGGGTCAGGACTGGCCCGGGTCAAGGCCTCACCTTGTCCTCATCTGTATGCCCAGCTGTGGGGCTTCTCTCACCCGCCAGTTCCAACACTCATCTTTCCCAGGGACTGTGGCTTCACATGCCTGCGCTTCCCAGCTATGGGCAAGTGAGTGGGTATTTCAGAACGATTAAAGTCTGGAGCCATCAAAAAATTTAAGATATTTCTACGAGCCTTAAAATGCTGTTGGAAAAGTTGGGGTTTTGATTTTTCAGGAGCTGAGCCCCATCCCTTGGGGCTTTTGTGGGCTGGCACCTGCTGCTGCTGGCTCCATGGGTAGTGCTGGAACATGAAGGGGAGACTGGCAGGGAGCAGGCAGCAGCAGTCCTTCCTCTCCAGGGAGGAGCTCAGGCAGCCCCTGCCCTGTCCTCTGGTGGGGTGGGGACAGTGGCCTTGGAGGCCAGGCTTGCCCTGGGCTGTGCATGGTGCTGCTTCACCTGTGTTAGGGCCAAATCCCCTCACAGGTGCCAGGCCATGGGGAGAGAGGGAGTGATATGGCAGGTTTGGGCTGCAGGGGCATCACTGGGGTTGCCAGATTGGGGTGCCTCTGAGTGGGGGCTCCCAGCTCCTGGCTGTCCCTCTGCTGTGCTGGTCAAAGGCAGTGGCTGCGGGCCTTGGGGCGTTTCTGGGAGCGGGCAGGAGGGTTGGAGCAGACTTTTGGGTGGTGGCGATGGATGTAGAGAGCTGCCCCCATGGGGAGCACTTGGTTCGGCTGTGGGCATGCACACGGTTGTGTCCTGGGGATGCTGGTGGAGTTGTCTTGACAAAGCCCATGGCCCTGCAGCAGTGCTAACCCTGGCTTCAGCACATCTCCCAGCTGCCCCTCATCCTGGCCAGAGGCTGGGCTTGGTGGGAGCACTGTGCCAGGCCACACCGTTTGCTCTTGCTGCATCCCATGGGGCTTGTCAGTGCTTTTGGCCAGGCAGCACGGGAGCTGCCTGTCCCCAGCTGGTGCTGCTGCCTTGTGCTAGGGCTGTGTGGCCCTGACCCGACTCATCCTCTTCACGGCCCCCCGTACCCATCTGCCGGTGTGGGAGAAGGTGGGAGCAGACATGGAGTTGCTGGCCTGGTGCTCCGGGGAGCTGAGCATCCCCCTGCCTGGGGCAAGCACCCGCCAGCAGCACCCAACAACTCTGCCTCCCTTAACTGGGCGAGTCGGGCAGGATCCAGCTGCATGGGGGATCCCAGTGGGCACACGCGTACCCCTCCATCCCTGGTGGTGGCAGGCAGAGGCACCTAGCACTCATGCAAACCCAAACAGCACCCAGCACCTCATCCTGCTTGCTTCTCTGGCAGGTTGAGGTGGACTTGTGCCAGGGGGATGTATACATGTGTGTCTAATGGGGTGGATCCCTCTGGCAGCTGAGCTCTGCTGCTGCCCCCGGATCCCCAGCCACTGTCACCTGGGCACAAGGGCCTCTGGGACCTGCGTCCCACCCTGGGTGCTGCACCTGTACCCACCCTCCCCTCACACCCAGACATACATGTGAGAGCCCTCACCACAGGAGGAGTGAGGAAGGGAATGGGTGAGAGGACAGGACAGACCTCTGTGGTCAGTGCAGGACGTGGCCAGCTATCGGCAGACACTGGCCCTTTTTAACTCCTTGTCCCTCTCCTCCCAGCATTTTCTTCCCAGCTGCCTGAATCCTGGCCCTTCCTCACACAATCCCAAATTGTCTCCCAGTGTCCTGCACCCGCAGCCAGGAACCCTGCCATGTGCAGGCTGTGCCAGTGTTGGGTGCCCTCCCGGGGGGGCTGAGGCTCCCTTGGGACAGCATCCTTTTTCCTTTCCATCCCTACTTCATGCCAGTGCCTCTGCCCCACTATGGGCGTGGGGCAGTCCTAACCCTCCCATGCCTGGGAAGCCCCGATGGGGACGGAATGAGTCCCAGAGGTGTGGACTGCTGAGCCCTGCTCTGCTGCCGTGTCTGCCTATCACTGTGTCAGCCCAGGTGCCAGTGGGGGACAGCCTGCCCTGTCACTGGGGTATGTGGGGGTGCAGGAGGGGATCAGAGACAGCGGCTTTATCTGGGGAAAGAGATGAGCAAAAGATCAGTGACACACTTTAAAAAAAATAACAGCAATCAGGTCCTCCCTGTTGCCACCAAGGAGCCGACAGTCCCTAAGGGAGCCTGGTACGGCCTGGCGTGGGTGTGGGGGGACGGTCCCACGGGCGCCTGGGCACAGAGGCCTGATTGTGCGCCTAGTAAACAGGCAGTGGGGCGGGTGCAGGCAGTGAGCGGCAGGGCAGGAGCCATGGGGTGGGCAGAGCGAGGCGGTGTGTCCCTTGCCACCCTCCCAGTACAGGGCTGGTGACGCCAGGGACCGCGCCTGGGACCAGTAGTGCCAGAAAGATGGGGATCCCCCTGGCCGTGCCGTCCCTGGGGTGTCTGCTGGCCTCTCCGGTCTCTGTCCCCCCTGCAAAATCAGCGGCTCTGGGAGTGGGGAGGGCAGCACTGGGGGGCACCCATGGGTGAAGCCATGACTGTCCCACAGCCCTATCAACCATGGTGCTCACAGGAGTGCTGTGGCCATGTGCCAGTGAGGGTTGAGGAGTGGGGCTGCTCTGACTTTTTGGCAGAGCGTTTGGAGCCCCTGGCGAGACCAGCACGGAGGTGACGCTGTTGGAATCAGGAGGGCCAGACCCTGTCACCTGCTGCTGGCTGTGTCCTTCCAGGCAGCCCTGTTGTTTTAAAGCCCTCTTTTCCCATCCTGCTGGCAAGCCCCTCCGGCACCTGGTTGCTGCAGGTGACCGGGCTGGTGCTAGTGTCATAGCAGGCACCTTCCTGGCAGCAGGTCCCAGGGTCTGATCTGGCCCTGAAGTGAGCTGAGGTTGCCTCACCTCACCCTGTGCCTCAGTTTCCCCACCTACAGTAGTTCCCCTCCCCTGGGCAGCGGGGGCAGTGGGGCCGTGCTGGGGGCATGCACGGTGCAAACAGGCAGCGGCTGTGCTGGCAGCGTGCCGGCTATGCTGGGTGTCCGCTTCTGCTGGTGGCTGAAGGTGCTGATGCCTGTCCTCGGGGCCTCTGGGCACGGAGCCCAGCCTGGGCCGCCTGCGCGATTGGGGTCAGCGATTCCTGGGGATTTGCTGTGATTTACCATATGCCGCCAGTGGAATTCCCGCGCAGCCGCAGCCTTCTGGGAGGGCACAGAGGGGGTGCCAGGATCCCCCACGCTGTGCCCCAGTTGCACCTGGAGCTGGGGCCAAACCGAACCCCACAATGGTTTTGGGGTCTGCCCCCTGCATAGCCCTGCAGCTGGGATTCAGTGGTAGCACATATGGCAGGGGAGCATCACGCTGGGCAGCTCCTGCCAGCATGGGAGCCTGTGGCCATTTGCTGACCATAAGGACTTGAGGTCTTCTCCCCTGGGCAGCCCCAGCTGCAGCGGCCGGTCAGGGCTGGGCTTAATCCCCAGCACCCTGATTGCATCACAGGAGTGGGGATCGATCCCCTCTCTGGTACCCTCTCATGTCACGAGGGGCCCCCAGGCAGGACAGAGCAGGCAGAGTGCAGGCAGGGGCAAGCAGGAGGTCCTCAGGTGCCCAGGGACCCATTTGCTTCTGGCTGAGCTGTGACAGTGCCACCAGACACCTGCAAGATGTGGGCATGGTGCCACACTGCACCGGTTCCCCAGGGACCCCTGTCCTGCCCTCACTCCTCCTTGGTAGCCTGGTCCCGTTCCCAAGCGTCATGATCCCTCTGCTTTGTGTCATCCACAGTGGGTACTGGCCTTTGAGATCTTCATCCCCCTGGTGCTCTTCTTCATCCTCCTGGGGCTGCGGCAGAAGAAGCCGACAATCCCCGTAAAGGAAGGTGAGTGTCAGAAGGGTGGTGTCCAGAACACCTGCACTTGGGACCACTCCAAGACTCTGGGGAGCTGCTTCAGCACCCTGGGGACAGCCTGTGGGTGCAAGGGCAGGGCTGTGACAGCTGGTGGTGCCCCAGTGAAGCCTTTTGGGGGATGTATCGCTGGGCAGGGGCTGCAGCCGGGGTCTGGCAGGGCAAACACAGCGGGGTTGGAGAGCCAGTCATCCGCAGCCAGGGGGCTTCCCTGGGGGTGGCAGCACCAACCGGCCTGTGGCTGCCATCGGCAGGGACATTTTGTTGGGGGAAAGGGGAGATGGAGCTGCATGGTGCTGGGACAGCCATGGAACCCCCTGACTGCTCGAGGAGCAGCCGGGGTGGCCCTGGGAAGGGCTCTGGGGCCCTGGACAAGCAAGAAATTAATGGGACCAAAGCTGGAGGCTCCTGGAGATGTGCAGCCAGAGTTCTGGCTGGGGATGCGGGTGCTGTGCTGATGGGAGGAGGCAGTGGATCAGAGCTGCCAACTTGTCAGGGCTCCGAGTAGATGCCCGCCTTAGAGGGTGCCCTTGCGTGGGTGGCACGGTGGGGCCTGGGGGAAGTGCTGGGAGCCGGCAGTAGTGGCCACGACCCTGTGTAACGATGGTCCAAGCCTGTGTTTCAGCGTGTACCAGCGAGGAAGAGCCCAGCTGTGAGCGTGGGTCCAGCTGCAGGCGGTGGTGGGCACTGCCCTGGTTCCTGCCCCAGCGCTGACGTGCGCTCTGTGTTGTGTGGTTTTTTTTGGTTTGTTTTTTCTTTTTGCTCATGTTTTCTTTTTCTTTCCCACCATCTCCCCTGCCTGCCTGTCCTCCATGCCTCTACTGCATGCACCAGTCTGTAAGTTGGTGGAGCGGGTGGGTGCCTCTCCCCCTTCCTCTGACTGTGCTGGCCATGTATTTTGGGGAGAAAGAGCCCAGTTTGCATCAACTCACTCTGGCCTAATCTACACCTCTATAACCCTGTTGCCTTCCTCTGTGGCTGGTGAAGATGAGCTTGGGCAGCACAGCGTGGCCCCTGCCTGCTCCTCCCGGGGGGCTGACCAGCCAGGATGTGGTGGTGTCCCCACCGGGTTGGTGGTGCGGGCTTCCCCAGAAGCTGGGGCTGCTGGTGGCAATGTCCCTGGCCCCTGAGGCTGCAAAGGGCTTTCCAGGTCAGGTGGAGGCTTGTTCTACCCCTTCTAACGGTTGGACTTGATGAACTTAAAGGTCTTTTCCAACCTAAATGATTCTATGATTCTTCTTGCCTCTTTCCTAGGGCAGACCCTGCTGGGTGCTGGCACGCATGTGGTAGCCTGTGGTCACCCAGTCTTGTCTGTGTCCCACCCCAGCTGGTCCACAAGGAGCCGGAGGGGGCTGGAGGTGGCTCCCACCCCTGCACCACTGCTGGGTACCTGTCCTGGTCCCTTGCAGCTGGGATGAACTGGGATGTGGCACTACTAGGAGCCTGGAGGCCAGCAAGATGCCACCCATGTGCTGGTTTTGTTACCAAAGTGTGGTGTAGCCACCACCATCTGCTAGCCCATCCCATGCTACGCCTGTCCCTGCCCTGGGCCATTCCTTGTCTCTGCCAGATGTCCATCTTCACCAGCCTCTGACCATCGTGGCCGTGCTAACAGCACTGACCCACCTCTAACCACAGGGCTACCGGCCAGGGTGGCAAGAGCAGGCTCTCCCTGCCCACTGCCAGTCTCTGGTCCTCTTTGGGACTGGCCCTTCTGGGCTCGCCCTGCCCCAGGGAAAGGTGTGGAATGACCCCAGCAGGGACAATGGCTCAGCGCTGGTGGAGGAGGGGAAGGTTTGCTGTCCCCTTGATGCTCCTCATTTCTTTCATCTCCCCCCCTGCTGTGTCTCCATTTCCACCCACTGCAGCAGCTGAAGGTGGGGGCAGCTGGGCAGGGGGGAGGCCAGGGGCTTGGGGAGCTGCGGGTGACAACTCTATTTTCCTTGTTGTATTCTTCCTCCTCTTCCTCTTCCTCTGGAGATCCAGTGGTGCCTCTGAGGTTACTAACCAGAACAACTGAGAGGCCGGGGGAGTTTGGCGGCCGTCCTGGGGGAAGCAGCAGAAGTGGCATCCTGGGGTGGGAGGGACCAGTGGGGAGTGAGCAGGGGCAAGAGAGCAGGAGCTGGGGAGGCCAGAGCTGTCCCCAGCCCCAAGGGGCCACCCGCTGGGGACAGCCTTGGTGGGAAAGCTGCAGAATTCTGACCTTGGCCGCCAACCTCCTGCGGGGCTCACAGGGCCCAGTGCGTGCTTCTCTGAACTGAGTGTGTCTCTCTGGTGGCCCCCTGCCTCCCCCCACCTCTCCTCCCTCCCTGCCCACACCTTCCCCGGCCTCCTCTGCACTCTCTCACTGGCTCCAGCTTTCTACACGGCGGCACCACTCACCTCGGCTGGGATCCTGCCTGTCATGCAGTCCCTGTGCCCCGATGGCCAGCGTGATGAATTCGGCTTCCTGCAGTACTCCAACTCCACGTGAGTCGTGCCTTCCCCGTGCGCTTCTTCCTCCCGCCCCGCTCCCTCCTGTGCACAGCCTGCCCCTTCCCACATTGGCACTGCTCCACTGAGGACAAGGCACAAGCCTGTGTCCCCCAAAGTGCTTGGGCGCAGAGCGCTGTGTCCCCGGCGTGCGGGGGACATCTCCCACCATTCCCCTGTGAGCCTTTTGAGGCTGTGGGGCTCTCCTCTGCGTCCCTGGCATGGTCAATTCAGTGCACAGGGGAGGACAGCTTCTGGGGCAGTGGTGCCCCATGGCAGGCAACCCTGCTACCTTGTGCACCTGAGGGGCTCGACCCCAGCCTGAGTTCTGTGAAGGTGTCCCCATCCCTCTGTCCCTGTCCCTGAAGCTGTGTCGGTGCTGGGCTCTTGCAGGGTGACACAGCTCCTGGAGCACCTCAGCGAAGCGGTGGAGCAGAGCAGCCTCTTCGACCCACAGCACCCAGGGCTGGAAGAGGAGCTGGAGTCGCTGCGCCGGCGCTTGGAGGCACTCAGCAGCAGCGAGCCCAGCTCCATGGAGACCCACTTCACCAGTGGAGCAGGTAGGCTGTATCCTGCTGCAGGGATGGAGATGCCCACCCGCCAGGCACTCAGCAGTGTGATGGCGTGGGGCAGTGCCTTACATTGCTGTGTGCCAGGCAGGGACAGCTGTAATACGTCCCCACATGGGTCTGTGCCACATCTCCAATGCTGGTGGGCTGCTCTGACCCCTCTGCCTTGCTCCTTGCCAGGATCTGGCTTCACACTGGCATGGGCAGCCAAGGACCGAGGTGAGCTGCACCGCTTCCTGATGCAGAATCTGTCCCTCCCCAACAGCACAGCTGAGCTGCTCCTGGGCTCCAGCATTGACCTGCAGGAGGTGGGTGACGACCTGTGGGAGGTGGGTGACCTCGCAGTGCTGCAGTGCCAGGCTTTGCAGAGGTCCTTGCTGCCCCAGTGAATGGGCACGGCCCAACTCAGACTGAGCCCTGACCACCCTGGGGTGGGAGTCAGCGGACACCCGGACAGGACTCATCCTGTCACCCATGCAACCCCACGCTGGGGCATTGCTGGGCAAACGGGTGCCTCTGCTCCCGGTGTGCTCAGCAGCCTTGTTCCCATCCCTGGTGCAGGTATACCGCTTGATTTTTGGTTCCTTTCCTTTGGTACCTGATGAGACCCATGAGCGAGACCTGTGGGATGGGTTTGGCCCTGGTGAGAAGATGACACAGCTGGAGGTGAGGAGCGGTGCCGTGTGCAGGGGACGTGGTGGGGCAGAGCTTGTCCTCTACATCCCCTCCATGTTCCACCACAAGGCTACCTGGGGGTGCTCATCCCAGGAGAGGAGATGTGATAGGATGCTGTCTGGTGGCCAGAGCAGCAGCAGGAATGGCTTGGTCCTGTCCTGGTGCTGTCACTGGTTCCCCCAGTGCTTCGAGGCACACCAGTGTCTGTGCCTACATTTCCCATTGCAATGGGTGACGGCACCTCCTGGATGGTGACTGTGGAGGGAGGCAGGGAGATTGTTCCCTCTTGTGTCTGGGGTGCAGGGGACCCATGCTCCCCCCAATCTGCACATCCCCTTTTCTTCCGCTCTCCCTGGAGACCACGAATGTGAGCGCTGTGGGGCCGTTCGTGTGTGGTTGGGGACACACACGGAGGGAAGCCCCCAACACTGTTCTCCAGCCCTGTTGGTCCTCTTGCAGAAGAGCCTCCCCAGTGGCTGGAGAAGCCTGCGGGAAGGGCTGGTCCACAGGGTACTGCAGGACCCTGCGGCAGCCCCACACCACCCGGCACTGCTCCACCTGCTCTCCCAGGCCCTGGGCCTTGCCAGCACCGCCCCGGCACACGCCTCCTCTGACAGCCCCCAGGCCTTCCTCACCGAGATGGAGGTGAGCACCTCGCGGGGCGAACCGGGGTGCACGGGCAGAGCTGCTCTGCCAGGGTGGGCACCGCGGCGGTGCCCCCACGGCTCCCTGCCCCATAGGGTGTCCTCTTCACCGGGCCGGTGCTGGAGCAGCTGACGTGCGAGCAGAGCCTGGGGAGGCTGCTCCACCTCCTGCGTGTGGCCCCCAGGCAGCAGCCGCTGCTGCAGGCGTACCGGGCGCTGGCCTGCAATGGCAGCCGGGCCACCCGCCGGCAGCGCTTTGCCCAGCTGGCTGCCGAGCTCCGGGACCAGCTGGACACCCCCAAGATCGTCAGCAGGGTGAGAGGAGGGCTGCGGGACGTGCCTTCTGCCAGCTGCAGGGTGGGCTGTGGGACAGGGACAAGTCCTGGGCGGGGTTTCCCTAATCTCCAGGGGATGTGTGGGGACTCTGTTACATGGCCCCGCCACTCCTCATCACCCTTCTACTCCACGTGGACAATCCCCACCCAGCCCCATGGCGGAACCCCAGATGATTCCCCTTCCTGGCACCTGTTGGGATGCGGCCCGTTGGACGGGGCTGTGTGGCCCCAGCATCCTCCAAGCATTTCCCCACAGGCAGCTCTCCTCAGGACTGGCAGTGTCCCTGGTGGCAATGTTCCTTAAGGCTGGCTCTGAGGTCCCCCTCCTCATCCTATCCAAGTCTGGCATTTCCCTTGTGGTCACAGAGGAACATCCTTCCTGCCTGAGGGACATCTTGTGTCCCCCAACAAGACCCTGCCAGCATTCGCCTGCACTCCTGCTGCCTGATAGCCATGGATGCATGGCAATGAGTCCAGGGCCCCAGCTGGACACAGCTCCAATCTTAACCAAGAAAGTGGACGTGCCACTGCTTGGAGTCCCCCTTGGTCACCTGCTGGCGAGCAGGGCCCTGTCACCCCAGCCACGGGTAACCCCTTGCCTGCTCGTCCTTGCAGCTGAAGCTGGATGAGGTGAACAGCACAGCCACCCAGCACCGCCTCCACACCCTCCTGGAGGACCTGGTGGAGATGGAGAAGGTTCTCCGTGACGTGGACATCCTCTCAGCGCTGGCCAAGCTGCTGCCAAGGGGAGCCTGTGCCAGCAAGGCCCCACCACCCACTGCCAACAGCACTGGCTGGGCTGGCACCAATGCCACGGCCAGCAACACCACGGCAGAGGAGGAGGGTGCCGGGCGGGGATCGGCTGGTGGCGACAACCCCCAGGGACAGTTCTCAGCATTTGTGCAGCTCTGGGCTGGGCTGCAGCCTATCCTCTGTGGCAACAACCGGTAGGAGCCCCGGGGGATAGAGAGGGCTGGATTCAGTTGCTCTCTGGTCAGGACGGGGGTGTGGGAGAGCCCACTTTGTCTCTGCCAGTGGTCCAGGGCCCCGGTCATTGCTCGATGAGTATGCGCGAGACAGATGCTGCACTGCATCCTTGTGCTGCGGACAGGGGAAGCTCCTTGTGCTGGGCAGCACCACGCTGGTGCAGGAGTTGGTGTGAAATCCCCTCCTGTGCAGGGGTGGGGGCTGCCCACAGCGAGGTGCGCTGGGGTTGGAGCGGATTTGGCAGCCTGAGCCCCCTTTGCAGGACAATTGAGCCCGAGGCACTGAAGCAGGGCAACATGAGCTCACTGGGCTTCACCAGCAAGGAGCAGCGAAACCTGGGCCTCCTCGTACATCTGATGACCAGCAACCCCAAAATCCTGTATGCGCCTGTGGGCACCGAAGTGGACAAGGTCATCCTGAAGGTGAGGGTGCACATTCTTCCTCTCCCACCAACTCCACTCTGCAGGGACCTCCTTGCCCAGACAGGCTCAGCGGGGCCAGGGCTGAGCAGGGAGGAAGGGGCCAGCTCCCAGAAGCAGGCAGGTGCCCTGGCCCTTTTTGGGGTAGCGATGCCTGCTGGGAGGTGGGCAGATGCCTCCATAGCTGTTAGCCATCCCAGAGAGCAGGGGGGCTCCTGCCTCGTCCCACTGTGTGACCTTCCTTCCCCTTAGGCTAATGAGACCTTTGCCTTTGTGGGCAACGTCACCCACTACGCCAAGGCGTGGCTGAACATCTCCCCCGAGATCCGTGCCTACCTGGAGGAGGGCAGGCTGCAGAGGCGCATCCACTGGCTCCAGCAGGTAGCATTGGGCGGTGGGGACTGAGCGTGTGTGGGTTTTACTGCCGTGGGAAGTGGGTGTCCTGCCCCCAGGCACCTCGTACCTTCTTCATATGAAGCTCTCAGATGTTCCTGGGTGCCCACCCTGCTCTTGTGAGGACCAGACTGGTTTCCTGCACAGGGTGGATGCTGTCCCCCTCTCCCCAGGAGGAGCGTGGGTCCCATCTGTGCCCGTGGGGAGAACAAGAGGCTGAGAGGCAGGGCATACCCCCACTTCTCCCTCTTATGTCTCCCTCCCTGTCCCAGTTCACTGCCGACCTCCACAAGCACCCAGAGATCCTGAATGTCTCCGACAGTGATGTTCTCCACAACTTTCTCAGTGGCAACTTCTCCCTGCCCAACGCCAGCGTCCTGCTCCAGCAGCTGGACACCATTGACAATGCTGCCTGTGGCTGGGTCCACTTCATGGCTAAGGTGAAGTTGTGCTGGAGCAGCACCCACTGCCTGCAGCCAGGCTCTGCAGGTCCAAGGAGGGGTCAGGTCTGCTCAGAAATTCTTCATTAAGGCCATGGGATGGGAGCCTTGGAGGAGATGGTGGCTTCTGCAGTGTCAGGAGCTTTGGCGTGGATGTCAGTGGTGGAGGTGCCCATCCACTGTTGGGTTTGGGGGCTTGTGTGGTGGCTGTGGGTGACACATGCTGCACCGTGTGCAGGGTCTGCTTGCCAGACCTGTCAGGGCCAGTGGGGACTCATCAGCCCTCCCCTCCTACCAGGTCAGCGTGGACATCTTCAAAGGCTTCCCGGATGAGGAGAGCATTGTCAACTACACGCTGAACCAGGCCTACCAGGACAACGTCACAGTCTTTGCCAGTATGTCCCCAGGAACCAGCCCCTTTGCAGGGGTCCCTGAAGCCATGTCCTTCTCTATCTGTGCCCCAGACTGGGGCCACTGCCTTTGGGATTTGGCTCCCTTGGGTCCTGCAGTGGGTGGATGAGCAGACCGAGCATCTTGCAGTACCCGTCCTCTGCCCTTGGCTGAGCCCTGCTGGGTGCAGTGCCCTGATGCTGCCCTGACTCCCCCACTGCCTCTGCCTGCTGTCCACATGCCCTCACGTCCCACGCCAGGGCCGTGCCCACTGTCCTCATCACCCTCGGGGTGCCACTGGCTGGGACATGCTGAACCCTCCGCGTCCCTGCCTGTCACTGCAGCCCGGCCGGTGTCGCCACCTCCTGTGGTGCCAGCGGGCTCCCTGCCTCTCCTGCCGCCCACAGGTGTCATCTTCCAGACCAACAGGGACGGCTCACTGCCCCCGCACGTCATGTACAAGATCCGGCAGAACTCCAGCTTCACGGAGAAGACCAATGAGATCCGCCGGGCGTACTGGCGGCCTGGCCCCAACACCGGCGGCCGCTTCTACTTCCTCTATGGCTTCGTCTGGATCCAGGGTGAGAGCCAGCTCCCTGCCACAGCTGTCTGCATCCCCAGCCCCTGCCCACACTGCCTGCTCAGCCTGCCCTGTCCTCCTCCTCAGACATGATGGAGCGTGCCCTCATCAACACGTTTGTTGGCCATGATGTGGTGGAGCCCGGCAACTATGTGCAGATGTTCCCGTACCCGTGTTACACTCGGGACGAGTGAGTAACGCTCATGTGGGCAAGGTGGGCAGGGGCAGGACCTTCCCTCTTCCCCTTTGCAGGCCAGGACACTTAAACTGGGACAAGGGGACAAGTTTGGGGGCCTGAGAGAAGTTGGTGACGCTGGAAATGATGAGCAACCAGTTAAGCTCTGCTCCTTGGACCACCAGGCTAGTCAAGCAGGGGAAGGATTTTGTGCCCAGTTCGCAGCTGAAGCGAGGAACTCATGGCTGCAGGGTGTTTTGGAGGCTGAAAGATTTGGGGAGAACAAGGAGTGTGGTAAACGGATGGCACATGGGTCTGTTGGTGGTTATTGAACACTGGTCTGGAGGAAGCACGTGGAGAACTCCCAGAGCCGCTAGCTCTCCAGGGCAGGAGGGTGGATAGGGCCCCATCCACACCAGGGTAAGCAGGGCACTGGGCTGCTGCTCACCTGCCTGCCAGCACCTGGCAGCCAGGACACTAGATTGTCCTATGGACTCATTGGAGGAGCTCTTCCCGGGCACTAAGGAGCTGCTGAACCAGAGGGCTGGTTGTCCCCAGGTGGTGGGAGAGCCCCTGTGCCCCAGGGTCTCCCCAGGTCTCGGTGGCGGTGCCACCATCCAGCTTTCCCCTCTCTTCCTCTACCCCACCAGCTTCCTCTTTGTCATCGAGCACATGATGCCCCTGTGCATGGTGATCTCCTGGGTCTACTCGGTGGCCATGATGATCCAGCACATTGTGACGGAGAAGGAACATCGCTTGAAAGAGGTGAGGATGGTAGGAGAGATCCCTGCAGAGGAGTTGGCATCTCTGAGCTCCGAGTCCTGTGATGCATTCAAGGGCACCTTCCCCGTGTCTCCGGGGAGTGTGAGCTGGAGTGACTGTAGGTCCCATGTCCCTGGGCTGAGCTGGTCCTTCTGAGTGTCCTTGGCACAAGCCCTGCCCAGCACTGGAGGGAGCTGGCCTTTTGGCTTCCTGACACAGGGTGCTGTGGCCTGCCCACTCCAGCAGCCCCCAGGGACCCCTTGGTGCTGCCTGCTGCTCTTCCAGCTCTGGTGAGCGAGGCAGCAGGGATGTGCAGGGTCGGGGACAGCCCTGCTGAGCAGTGTCGTCCTCACAGGTGATGAAGATGATGGGCTTGAACAATGCGGTGCATTGGGTGGCTTGGTTCATCACCGGCTTCGTCCAGCTCTCCATCTCGGTCACAGCACTCACTGCCATCCTGAAGTACGGCAAGGTCCTGATGCACAGCGATGTCCTCATCATCTGGCTCTTTCTTGCCATCTATGCAGTGGCCACCATCATGTTCTGGTGAGCTGCCTGGTCCAGTCCGTGGGGTGAGGGGGCACAGGCAGCACCAGGATCCTTGTGCCATGGGGCGAGGGTGCTGGGAGCTGTGTGAACAAGGGCGAGTGGGGGGACACAGGTCCCCCGAGCCAGCTGATCTGAGGGGCCAATTTATCACCTTAACACCACCCAAATCAGACAGTGTGGAGAATGCCCTGGCAGGGCAGGATCCGAGGTGATGATGTCCTCCCTGCAGCTTCCTGGTGTCAGTGCTCTACTCCAAGGCCAAGCTGGCCTCCGCCTGCGGTGGCATCATCTATTTCCTCAGCTACGTGCCCTACATGTACGTAGCGATACGGGAGGAGGTGGCGCATGACAAGATCACAGCCTTTGAAAAGTGCATCGCGGTGAGTTGGCTGTGGTTGCTGGGGATGTGCTTGAACCCAGGTTTGCCCCGGGCACCCTATGTCCAGTACACAGGCCACCAAGCTGTCACCAAGCCCTGGGCAAACCTCCACCTGTATGAGCCAGCTCCCCATAGGGCTTTGGAGACATCTCCAGAAGGTTGGTGCCTCCCAGAGCAGGGAGCATCTTCACTGGGCTGGGTGGGGAAGCACCAGGTAGCAATTCACCCCAACCTGTTCCTCTGGAGCTGGCCTGTGGTTACTGCTGATGTCCCTTCCCTCCACCTCTCTGCAGTCCCTCATGTCCACCACGGCCTTTGGGCTTGGCTCCAAGTACTTTGCGCTGTACGAAGTAGCTGGTGTGGGCATCCAGTGGCACACCTTCAGCCAGTCGCCTGTAGAAGGAGATGACTTCAACCTCCTGCTGTCCATGATGATGCTGATCGTGGATGCTGTGGTGTATGGAGTGCTCACGTGGTACATTGAAGCTGTGCACCCAGGTGTGTTTGGGCAATGGGGAATGAGGGCACCTCTGATCTTACGGGAACCTCCTCGCTGGGCACCTGCTGGTTCCTGGCAGTGCTCAGCCCTGACACGGTGGGATTCAGCACAGTGTGCCTTCAGGGCCGCCTGCATGTGTCCCGTTGGGGACACCTGCCCAAATGCCCTGACCCAGTGGTGACACCAACAGGTTCCTTGGAGACCTTCAGTCGTGTGTCTCAGTTCACTGGCCAACTGTAGTAAAGCTCCATGGCTGGAGCGCTGTTTCCCTTTATCTCCTGCTTGGGCAGGGGTCTCACCAGCTTCGTTTGCTTTCCTAGTAAAACTGAAATGTGAGCCAGCCCCAACCCAAAGCCCAGAGGACTTTGCTTCCATGCACAGCCCAGCAGTGTTGCCCTGAGCCCAGTTGGCTGGTGTGATTGCAGCCCCCACCCCACAGTGGTGTCACTAAGCTGGGGAAATCTCCAAGCCCATGTCCGTGCCTGTACCCGTGCTGAGCTCTGCCCCGGCGCTTGGCCAACTTCTGCACAGACATGAGTGCAGGGTTGGCCCTGACTCCGCAGGGGTTATTCTTGCAGGCATGTTTGGCTTGCCGCGGCCCTGGTACTTCCCCTTTCAGAAGTCCTACTGGCTGGGCAATGGGCGAGTGGAGACCTGGGAGTGGACCTGGCCCTGGTCCCGCACCACCCGCCTCAGCATCATGGAGGAGGATCAGGCCTGTGCCATGGAGAGCCGGAGACTGGGTGAGGGCGGGCAGGCAGGGGCGCTGGGAGGTGGCCCAGGTATGGCCCTGGCTCTGCTGCATGGACCCCTGTGTGTGCCCTGTGCCCTTGTCAGGGCAGGATCCTGGGCTAGGCTTTGCTGCCTGTCTGGGAGCTTCTGCCTGTGGTGTGGGAGGGGGGAAGGTGGTGAGAAGCAGAGGGGAAGGTGCCACGAGCCAGCACAGCCACTACAGGAGGTTCATCCCCTGGGGAGCCCTGCTCCACACCTGGTCTCCATGCCACCCCACAGCTCCTCACCATCCCACTCTCACGGCAGAGGAGACACGGGGCATCGAGGAGGAGCCGACCCACCTCCCCTTGGTTGTCTGCATTGACAAGCTCACCAAGGTCTACAAGACAGACAAGAAGCTGGCGCTGAACAAGCTAAGCCTCAATCTTTATGAGAACCAGGTGGTGTCCTTCCTGGGGCACAACGGCGCGGGGAAAACCACCACCATGTGAGTGCCCATCAGGGCGGACGTGGGCCATGTCCTTCTGACCAGCTGCAGTGGGTGGGGAACGTGCTGTGTGATGCCCTTGCATGGCCTGTGGCAGCTGGTGCCGTGCCCAGAGGGCAGCAGTGGGGATGTGGGTTTGGCACAAAAGGGGGAACAGACAGTGGGCTCATGGCTCTGCACTGACATTGCCCTGCCAGGGACCCAGCAGATGTTCCTGGAGATGGTGGTTGGGATTGGGACCAGTCAGAGGAATACAGGGTCCTTCACATTGTTGCCTTTCTCTGTCCATCCAGGTCCATCCTCACCGGCTTGTTCCCTCCAACCTCGGGCTCTGCTACCATCTACGGCCACGATATCCGGACGGAGATGGATGAGATCCGGAAGAACCTGGGCATGTGTCCCCAGCACAACGTGCTCTTCGACAGGCTGACGGTGGAGGAGCACCTTTGGTTCTACTCGCAGCTCAAGAGCATGGCGGAGGAGGAGATCCGCAAGGAGATGGACAAGTAGGCACTCTCCAGCTCCTTTTGCCCCATCTGTGCCTTTTACACGAGTGGGCCCCCTTCACGCTGGCTGAGCTATAGTAGAGCTGGCTGTGGAAGCTAGCAGAAGATGTTCCTGTAGCGTGGCTGCAGCTGGGCTGTCCCAGTGTCCGAGGGCCATAGGTACCATGTGGGGAAGAGGCATCACGTGCTCCCTGCAGGCACCAAGTGCCAGTACAGCCTCCCCGGCATCCCTGGTTCTTCTCCCCTGTCCCCAGGATGATTGAGGACCTGGAGCTCTCCAACAAACGCCACTCCCTGGTGCAGACCCTCTCGGGGGGCATGAAGAGGAAGCTGTCGGTGGCCATTGCCTTCGTGGGTGGGTCGCGGGCTGTGATCTTGGATGAGCCCACAGCTGGCGTGGACCCATATGCACGCAGAGCCATCTGGGACCTCATCCTCAAGTACAAGCCAGGTGAGCGGAGGTGGGCAGAGCCCAGCATTGCTCCTCTGGCTGCGGTGGCCCTGACCCCTCCACTGAGGCTCTGTGCCACCACCAGGGAGGACCATCCTGCTCTCCACACACCACATGGATGAGGCCGACCTGCTGGGTGACCGCATTGCCATTATCTCTCATGGCAAACTCAAGTGCTGTGGCTCCCCGCTCTTCCTCAAGAGCACCTATGGAGATGGCTACAAGCTGACAGTGGTGAAGAAGCAGTCGGACATCAGGAACGGCACAGGTCTGGGGGGCAGCAGGACCCTGTGTTTAGAGGAGTAGATGGGACAAGCCCTTCTTCAGCCCAGAAGAGGAACGAGAGGTCAAACCCAAGTGCTCCCACGCCAAGTCTCCGTAGACCATGTGGAGGGCAGAGGGGGACTGGGAAGGGGTGTAGGAGGTGGCATCACTCAGCCTTGATTTCTGCTGTCTGGGTCCCAGGTTAGACCCTGCATGGTGGCATTTGTCTCCAGGCACTGGTTCTGTCCAGCCTGTGGGCTGCCCACTGAGATGTCCAGCGTGGGCCATGGTGCAGAGCACCATCCCCAGGTGTCATGGTTTAACCCCAGACAGCAACTAAGCACCAAGCAGACACTCGTTTGCTCACTCCCTCCTCCCAGTGGGATGGGGAGGAGAATCAAAAAAAAAGTGAAACTCATGGGTTCAGATAAGAACAGTTTAATAACTAAAATGAAGTTGATGATGATGATGATAATAATAATAATAATAACAATGACAATGATGATGATGATAAGGAATATAACAAAAAGCAAAAGACATAAAACCCAAGAGAAAACAAGCAATGCACAATGCAATTGCTCACCACCTGCTGACTGATGCCTGAGCCGCAATCTGCCCCTTCTGGCCAGCTCCCCCCAGTTTCTGTTCTGAGCATGGCACCCTATGGTATGGAATAGCCCTTTGGCTAGTCTGGGTCAGCTGTCCTGGCCACGCTTCCTCCCAGCTTCTTGTGCACCTCCTCACTGACAGAGCATGGGAAGGGGAAAAATCCTTAGCTTAGGGTAAGCACTACTTAACACACTGATGTTTTAGTTGTTGCTATCATCAGTATTCTCACGCTAAATCCAAAACACAGCACTGTACTAGCTACTAGGAAGAAAATTAACTCTATCCCAGCTGACACCAGGACACCAGGACAGGCAGGGTGGCTGGGAAGCCGCCAGCACCCTGCAGTGGAGGCTGGAGAAGCCCCCACAGTGCTGGGGTGTGGGGTGGGCGTGGTGGGTCTTGGTGGGAAGCTGGGGGCCAAGTGACTGACTGGCCCTGCCCCTCTGTCACAGAGACAGGCCAGCCGCACAGCCCCCCGGCCCACTCCTCTGTCAGCCCCTGCTCTGAGCCTCGTGTCTCCCAGTTCATCAAGAAATACGTGGCCTCCTGCCTCCTCATCTCGGACACCAACACTGAGCTCTCCTACATCCTGCCCAGCGAGGCCGTCAAGAAGGGCTGCTTCGAGAGGCTCTTCCAGGTATGGGGGCTGGCGGGGTGGGCAGGCAGGCGGTTGCGGGTGGCTGTGGCACTGTGGGTGCCTCCTGCCCTCCTCACACAGCACTTTGCCTCTGCAGCACTTGGAGCAGAGCCTGGAGGAGCTGGATCTCACCAGTTTCGGGCTGATGGACACCACACTGGAGGAGGTCTTCCTGAAGGTGTCTGAGGAGGACCAGTCTCTGGAGAACAGTGACGTGGGTATGGGCAGTGGAGGGGCACGCGGTGCTGCTGGGGCTGGCAAGGGGCTCTGTGCCTCTGTGGGGGCTTTTCCAAGGGGAGGAGTGGTCTCCAGTGGAGCCCATCCTGGCCAAGGGCAGATGGCCTCTGCTCCACTCCAGGTTTGCAGAGCAGATCCATCCCCACTCCATGCCACACTGTGGTGAAGGGAAGCATGGCCAGTAGCAACTGCCCTTCTCCTTCTAGACATGAAGGAGTCCAAGAAGGACACCATGCGACCACCTGCCCCTGAGCTGGGCCCAAAGCCTGAGGCCAATGGGGAACCTCTGGCCGAAGCAGCGGTACCGGAGAAGCCCGAGGTGGAGCTCAGCAACCTGGTGACCTGCTCCAAGCTGGCGCAGTCGCAGGCATCCCTGCACTCGGCCTCCTCAGTGGGCTCTGTGCGGGGTGACGAAGGTGGGGCTTATTCCGAATTCTTTGGGGATTATGCGCCCCTGTTTGATAACCAGCAGGACCCCGATAACATCAGTCTGCAAGGTTTGTGCCACCGGTGGCCGGGGCCGGGCGAGGCGCTCGGCTGGGACACGGGAGGGTGGCCGGGGCAGTGGCAGCGCCAGCGCCCATCCCTGCACCTGGGCAGGGCAGAGCTGGCCCTGGCTGGGGCACGCAGGTGTGCTGGGAATGGGGGGCCATGCCTGCTGGGGCAAGACCCCCCTGGGGGGCTGATGATGCCAACACTGCGCCTAGAGAACTTCAGCCTGGGTAGGAGGGCTGGGAATGGGTGCTTCCACCAGTTCGTACCCCCCAAACCAGTGGCATGTGTGTGGAGGGATCCTGTGCCGAGACATGGAGCCAGTGGGCGCAGTCAGTGTTGGCTCTGCCCTTTGCCTCCCTGGGGTCCTGTGAGTGCCACCTTGCAGACTTGCTCCACTAACGCGCTCGCTCCTCACACTGGTGTCCGGTTGGGTTGTCTCCTCTTGGCCTTGGGGCACGGAATCACCTTCCAGCTGGTGTCTTTCCCCTCCATACCCTGACCTGGCCTAGGGGCTCTCCCTGCCTGGATGCTGGGCTTGCTGGAGGATGGAGAATGCAGGCAGGCACCCTGAGGCTGCTGTTTTATTCACAAGTCCTTTTCTGGGTTACCCCGGCAGCTCTTGTCATGATTAATTCAGGGATGTGCTACCCTGCCTCCCTAGCCGGGGCTGCTCCGAGTGTTGTGATTTTGGGTTTCAGGAGGCAAAGTGCCACAGCAGAGCTCCCTGAGCCCCAGCCCCATGCCCGCTGCCTCACTGGGTCCCCCCACCCGTATCCTGTCCCCTGTTCCTGACTGCACTGACCCCTCACCAGCTGGGAGAGCTGGTGGGGAAACGGAGGGGTTCTGCCAAAAAGTGCCAATTTAGGTTGTGTTTTTTAAAACTTGTCTAAATTTCCCATTTTGGGCCAAGAGGAACCTACCAGCCAGCTGCCTTGCTTCACGCTGTGGTGCTGCTGTGGCTTGGCGGCCATCGGGGCTAGGTGCCACCCTGTCCCTGGGGGTGGCTGCACCCGGCTCGGTGCCTGGCTCAGCTCCCTGGGGACCAAGGCGGGTATGGGAGTGGCCATGCCAGGGGGCTGACACCTTTCTCCTCTCCCAGAGCAAGATGCAGAGGTGGAGTCAGAGGACCGTGACCTGGCCGGGCAGGGGAGCTTCAAGCTGGAGGGCTCGTGGCTGAAGCTGCGCCAGTTCCATGGGCTAATTGTCAAACGCTTCCACTGCGCCAAGCGCAACACCAAGGCCCTCTTCTCACAGATCCTCCTGCCAGCCTTCTTCGTCTGCGTGGCCATGACAGTGGCGCTCTCGGTGCCCGAAATAGGTGCCCGCAAGCCACCCACCTGCATGCTGGGGGCTGCTGGTGGCCCCTTCTGGCTGCCCCGGTGTGACCGGTGGGGACGTTGGCTGGGGGGTGGGCGGTGAGGTCAAGGCGTGTGGCCACTCAGCCAGTCTGCGCGTGTGTGGTGGTGCTGCAGGTGTGAGCAGGTTGCTGTCCTTGTCCCTGCAGGTGACCTGCCACCCCTCATCCTCTCGCCATCGCAGTACCACAACTACACCCAGCCCAAGGGCAACTTCATTCCTTACGCCAACGAGGAGCGGCATGAGTACCGGTGAGAGCCACCGCTCGCCGGTGACCAGTGTCCTGTGCCCTCTCTGCATGCCCATCCCTGTCTCCACCCCTGGGACTGTGGTGGGGGCAGCAGGGAGGGCAGTCCACAGTGGGGCTGGTGCCGGGACTGGCTCAGGCTTGGAGCAGAGCCTGGCTGGTGCCATGTCACCTTGCAGAAGCCAGCCTTCATCCTCCCCAGGGTGTCTCTGGTATATGTGCCAGCCCTGACACTGGCTGTGACCAGCAGCTTGGCTCATGCCAGGCCTGGGCTCTGTGTCCTGCCGTGGTGCCTGTGCCCACTGAGTCATGATACATGCCAAGGCCTTGAAGAGGTCCCAGTAGAAGACAGCCAAGGTGGTGCGACCCACGTGTCCCACTTCTTGCTCCTCCTCACCCGCTCCTCTCCCTGCAGCATCAGGCTGTCTCCTGATGCCAGCCCCCAGCAGCTGGTGAACACCTTCCACCTGCCCTCTGGCGTGGGGGCCACCTGTGTGCTCAAGACAGCTTTCAACAACACGCTGGACCAGCCCATGCAGACCCTCAACCTCGACAGCAACGAGTCCAAGATGCTGGCGGCCAAGTACTTCGACGCCATGTGCATTGACTCCTTCACCCAGGGCCTGCCGCTCTCCAACTTCGTGCCACCACCTCCATCCCCGGCCCCCTCTGACTACCCTGTCTCAGTAGATGAGGACCTGCTTCAAGCATGGAACTCCACGACCTTCTCCTCTGCTGTCAAAGGTATTGCCTGTGCTTGATGCTTGAGTCTGTCCAGGCCTGGGATTCATTTCCAGCAGAGGGATGATATATCTGCCCCACAGAAGCAGGGATCCCTCAAAGTGCCTGTCAGTTTGGCCAGGTCACAGCAGAGCACTGCTGGATTGAAATTCTGGCGTAGTGCTGGTGCTGGCCCTGGAGCACCATTCCCCGTTCAGCCCTGGCAGTGTCAGTGCAGCTCTGTGGGTCAGTGACACCAATGAGAGCCCTGTGGCCAGCCATGTGTTACCCTCATTGGGCTGGCTGCTTGGTCCCCATGAAGCCTCATTTCATGCCCTCTCTCTGAACCATTTCTCTTCCCTAAAGTTTTTCCCCATGTCCGTCTCTTGGTCCCTCTCCATCACCAGGACACAAAATCCCTCTTGCAGACCAGGCTCTGCCCCAGCAGGAGCTAATACCAGTCGGGCAGAGTGCTCCCTCCCTGCCCAGCTGGGACCCCTCATCTGAGCCCCTCTGCCACCCCCCGCATTGTCCCAGGCAGCCAGGACAGGCAGGAGCCTGGCTGTGAGCTGCCCTCTTTGCTCCTCAGAGACCGTGACCTCGGCCCCTGCCCTGCCCCGCATCATCCACGAGCCCATCAAGTGCACGTGCTCCATGCAGGGGACCGGCTTCTCCTGCCCCAGTGGTGTAGGGGGTCACCCCCCACAGATGAAGGTGGTGACGGGGGACATCCTGGCAGACATCACAGGGCGCAACGTCTCTGAGTATCTGCTCTACACCTCAGACCGCTTCCGGCTGCACAGGCAAGAGGGAAGGCTGGGAGGGTCTGCCCTGTGCTGTGGAGCAGGGGTGGGGGATGAGGGACTTGGGGACACCTGCCTGGGGTGCTGACAGGAGCCAGAAGCATGCTTGAGCATGGCCCCACTCCTGGCGGTGGGGGACGGCGGTCACGGCTTCTCAGTGGTGCCTCGTCCCACAGGTATGGGGCACTCACCTTCGGCAACGTCCAGAAATCCATCCCGGCCTCCTTTGGGGCCAGGGCTCCTGCCACGGTGCGCAAGATCGCTGTCCGGAGAACGGCGCAGGTGGGACCGCACTGCGGCTCGTGCCAGCTGGGAGACGGGTGGGCAGTGGCAGCCACAGCACGGGTGGGGAGGAGAAGGGGGCAGGCAGCGGTGCCTGCACAGCAGGGACCCCTCACCCGCTGCTCTCCGCCGAGGCATCTGGTGGTGCTCTTGCCCCATGGGTCACTTTGCAGGTCCAGCCCCCAGCACGGCCTGCAGTGGCCCGCGCTCCCCACGGCCGTGGGCACAGGAAGCCTGTCCTGCGGCTGTCATGTCCCGTCCTTCCCTTCCAGTACATCTGCCACTGGCCCAGCTCTCTTGCCACCTCCCACCACTCTTCTCTGCTTCTCCAGGTCTTCTACAACAACAAGGGTTATCACAGCATGCCCACCTACCTCAACGCTCTCAACAATGCCATCCTGCGAGCCAACTTGCCCAAAAGCAAAGGCAACCCCGCTGCCTATGGTGAGGACCTGGAGGCATTTAAGGGCAGAAGCACATCAGGAACAGCTATAGGGCATGGTCCAACATGGCTATAAAGTGCAGTGTTCCCCCTTGGACCAAGCAGACTAGTACCTATTTGAGGCAGGGGGGGGTCACACAGGCAGAGTCTGGACTGGGGCAGAACCTCCCAAGGTGCTGCCAGCTGGCACCTGGACTTGCACTGTGTCCGAGGATGCGCTTTGCCAGCTGGTAAGGGAGGCCTTGGCCTCGGTGCTTGGTTGCTTCAGGCAGCTCAGCTCCTGCCACGCTGCGGGGTTGGGGGGGAAACCCATCCTCCCACTCAGACCCCAGACCAGGCATGCTGGGGGCAAGATTTTTTGTCGTGAGCCATCTTTCATGCTCCCATGTTCCTTCTTGGGCTTTCCTGCAGGCATCACAGTCACCAACCACCCCATGAACAAGACGAGCGCCAGCCTGTCTCTGGATTACCTGTAGGTCCAGGGAGTGGGTTTGAGGGAGGGTGGCCGTCCTGTGGAAGGGAGGGAGCTCCCCACCACAGTTTGCAGAGGAGTGCTGAGGCTTCTGCCCTGCAGGCTGCGTGGGGGGCACTGGGTGGTGGTGACATTGGGGTCCCTGTGCCATGCCTTGCCTTACGCACAGTGATTGTCCCGTGCTGGGCTGGGGTGACCTTCCTTCAAGTAGGTAAGGGTGACAGGGTCCCTGCTCTCCTCCTTGCTCCCCATGCAGCCTGCAAGGCACAGATGTAGTGATTGCCATCTTCATCATTGTGGCCATGTCCTTTGTGCCAGCCAGCTTTGTGGTGTTCCTGGTGGCTGAAAAGGCCACCAAGGCCAAACACTTGCAGTTCGTGAGCGGCTGTGATCCTGTCATCTACTGGTTGGCCAACTACGTGTGGGACATGGTGAGCAGGGCACATGGCCCCACTGACTGAGCCCTCAGGGCCAGGTGGGTGTGTGGGCAGTCACAGAAGTTTCTGTCTTCTCCAGCTGAACTACCTGGTGCCGGCCACGTGCTGCATCATCATCCTGTTTGTGTTTGACCTCCCAGCGTACACCTCTCCCACCAACTTCCCTGCCGTCCTCTCCCTCTTCCTGCTCTACGGGTACGTTGCTCAGTCTGGAGGCACTGGTGGGTCCCTCTAACGCCCCGTCTGCACTGTGGCTGCACAGGCAGGATCTGGGCTTGGGGCTGCCCATCTGGCTGAGGTTCTGCGGCTCCCGTGGCTGGCGGGCTGCGAGGGCTGGGGTGGGAGAGCCCATGGAGGACAGGGCTGGGAGATGGGCAATCCCAGGGCTCAATGGTTGGCGCTGCCCGGTCCCTCTCCTGCCACGCTGATGTGCGCTCCTGCCACTCGCCTTCCCAGCTGGTCCATCACCCCCATCATGTACCCTGCCTCCTTCTGGTTTGAGGTGCCCAGCTCTGCCTACGTCTTCCTCATTGTCATCAACCTCTTCATCGGCATCACAGCCACCGTTGCCACGTTCCTGCTGCAGCTCTTTGAGCATGATAAGGTACAGGATTCACAGCTCTGCCTGGGACCACCAGGAAGGGAGAAGCTGCCATCGGGTCATGGGACAGCTCAGGTTGGGAGGGACCTCAGGAGGTCTCTGCTCCAGACTCCTGCTCCCAGCAGGATCAGCTATGAGACCTGATTGGGCTGTATCTTGGTGGGGATCCTGATCCTACCATGGGTTCACGGTCCTCAGGTGTGTTTCTGATGGTTGTGTCCTCTCTGCCCATTCCCACAGGATTTGAAGGTGGTGAACAGCTACCTGAAGAGCTGCTTCCTGGTATTCCCTAACTACAACCTGGGCCATGGCTTGATGGAGATGGCCTACAACGAGTACATCAACGAATACTATGCCAAGATTGGTATGGCCTCCCGTTCCCTCCCTCTTCTATTGCTCCAGGGCATGTGGGGCTGGGGGCACCACAGTGCTGGCACATCCCCTCCGCTTGCCTTGTGGGGCTTCCCGAAGCCCAGAGCAACGTGGAGCAAAAAGCCAGGGCATGTGAACTAGTCTGAGGCACAGGAAGACAAACAGTTGAGGGTCGGACATGTTGTGGTGCCGGTGATTCTGAAAATGGTTCCTTGGGCCATCCCAAATAGCAGCCCCATGGGGAGGGGAGGTTGTGAGCCCTGGAAGAGTTGTGTGTTGCTGCTGCTGTTGCGTGCTGCCTGTGGTGGGGCCATAGTGGGCCATGGTGGAGCCATGATGGGGCTGTGGTGGACCATGGTGGGGCCATGCTGTGGTACGAGGGATAGGGACTGCAAGGGCTCTTTCCTTCTAGATGTTGTCTCTTGCTTGCAAGGCTGTACTGCCCAGCTAAATTGAGCCTTTTGCTACTTGCAGCTTCAGCTTGGCCTCAAAAAGCTCCCGATGCTCTCTGCTTCTCAAGCAGCTTCCATATGTAACCCAGGTGCTGCTGGCATCATGAAGGGCAATTCTGGGACAGGATCTAACAAATCCATCCAATATCCACTCTCATTTGGGTTGATTCATCCTACTGAGGTTGAAAAGTTGCAAGATGATTTCAACAGCACATACGGTGTGGATGGAAAGCCTTGTTGTGACCAGTCCTGGTGCCAGCAGCACTGACCAGCCCAGGCAGCTGCGGCAGGGGAGGGGACACAGGAGCAGGACAATGTCATTGTCACAGGCCAGCTCAAGACTTAGGACCAGGGTGTCCCCACAGGAAGGTGTCCCCAGCTGCTCTCTCCTCTTCCTCCCACTCAGGGCAGTTCGATAAGATGAAATCGCCCTTCGAATGGGACATCGTGACACGAGGGCTTGTTGCCATGACAATTGAAGGCTTTGTTGGCTTCTTCATCACTATCATGTGCCAGTACAACTTCTTCCGGAAGCCCCAGTGAGTGCAACCGGGGAGCAGGGGTCAGGCTAGGCAGGGCTGGCTGCAGGGAAAAGCTTTGCCACCAGGACCCATAAGCTCAAGGCTGGCCCTCCAGTGGGTGCAAGCTGGGGAGCTGCCCATCCCCAGCAGGGAGGCGCACCCACTCTGTCCCGTGTGCCCTCCCATAGGCGGCTGCCTGTCTCCACCAAACCCATCGAGGATGACATTGATGTGGCCAATGAGCGGCACCGTGTCCTGCGTGGTGATGCTGACAACGACATGCTGAAGATCGAAAACCTCACCAAGGTGCAGCAGCGGTGGGGGGACGCGCCGGGGCTGGAGGGAGGCACCTCGGCGCCGTGGGACGTGGGTCAGGGGTGGGGGTCTGGGTGCCTCCTGGCAGGCTGAGCCCCCATCCCCTGCCCCACCAGGTTTACAAGTCCCGTAAGATTGGGCGCATCCTGGCCGTGGACCGGCTGTGCGTGGGCGTGCGCCCCGGGGAGTGCTTCGGGCTGCTGGGCGTCAACGGCGCGGGCAAGACAACCACCTTCAAAATGCTGACGGGGGACGAGAGCACCACAGGCGGAGAGGCCTTTGTTAATGGGCACAGGTTGGGGGGCACGGTCTGGGTGGGAGAGGAGGACTGCCTGCTGCCCTGGGGACGGGATGGGGTCTGCTCGGGGGTCTCCCACGATGAAGCAGTGTGACTTTGCCCGTGTCGCTCCATGAGATTCTGCAACCCTGCGGGTTGTGGGCTGACCGTCATCTGGGGGGTGGCAAGTGACACCAGTTTTTGACTAAGGCTGCCCGTTGTGGCTTACCTGGTAGAAGATGCTCTGATATAAAGGTGTGTGAAAGGGGGGGTGAGCAATGGGGTGCTCCCAAAAAGCAATTTCTTCTGCTCACGGCCCTTCCTTCTCCTACAGCATCCTGAAGGAGCTCCTGCAGGTCCAGCAGAGCTTGGGCTACTGCCCCCAGTTTGATGCGCTCTTTGATGAGCTGACAGCTCAGGAGCACCTGGAGCTCTACACCCGCCTGCGCGGCATCCCCTGGAAGGACGAGGAGCGGGTAGGGCTCTGGGTTGGTGATTGCCAGTGCCCATGAGCTGGTGCTGTGCCATGGGAATGGCATCTCCCCAGGTACCCCTGGGGACCCGAGCCACTGCTGCTACCCTCATGGCAGTGCTGCCCCAGTGGTATGCCCATGTGGGATGCTGGGTCTGGGCACACAGGCTTGTGGGCCTCTACCAAAGCTCATGGCCATTCCAGAGGTTACTGGGGGGCTCCCCTGACTGGCACGTCCCTTGTGGTCCCCTTGGCAGCTGGTCCACCTGCAGCTTGCCTGCTGCCAGCTCTGCCAGCTCCGTGGCCTTGGCAGGGTGACAGCAGCCCTCCGCACCTTGCAGGTGGTCAAGTGGGCACTGAAGAAGCTGGAGCTGACCAAGTATGCCGACAAACCCACCAGCACCTATAGCGGAGGCAACAAGAGGAAGCTGTCTACAGCCATTGCGCTGATCGGATACCCGGCCTTCATCTTCCTGGTGCGTCTCAGGCTCCAGCACCCTGCCTGGGGGGTCCTCCTCCCACCCCGTGTCCACCTCGCACCAGGCTAGGGTGGAAAAATGACCCTGGGTGGGAGCTGCTTGCCCCCAGCACTGCCACAAGTGTCCTAGGGTGTGGGATGGTGTCCCAGCTGGTGTCCTGGTGTCCTTTCAGGACAGAAGGGTGGTGGCAGGGTCTCCCTGGGGGCTGGAGTGTCTGAAGGTGCTGTCTGTCCCACAGGATGAGCCCACCACAGGGATGGACCCCAAGGCACGGCGCTTCCTCTGGAACCTCATCCTGGACGTCATCAAAACGGGTCGCTCCGTGGTGCTTACGTCCCACAGGTCCGGGGGGGGCCTTCTGGCTGCACCCCCAATGTTTCCTGGCACCTGCGGTGCTGCATGGGTGGGCAGGGGCTCTTTGGTCCCCAGGGGATGGCGTTCGGCAGGAGCATGAGGAGCAGGGGGAACACGAGACACCCTGTGTTGCCTTCTCCCATCTCTGGTGGTGGGGCCACGGCACGTGGGTGACAGCCTGGGGAGCTCAGCCCCCCACCTGCCCCAGCCGTGGCCCCTAGCACTGTCCCCCCATGCCACCCTGCTAAAGCCTGCCCTGTCTCCGCAGCATGGAGGAGTGCGAGGCGCTCTGCACCCGCCTGGCCATCATGGTGAACGGGCGGCTCAAGTGTCTTGGCAGCATCCAGCACCTGAAGAACCGGTGAGAGCCCAGTGGAGGTCCAGTACCCTGTGTGCGCTGCAGGGTGAGAGGGGGCCAGGGCCCCGTGTCAGGGTGACGGTGTGGCACCTGTGGCAAGATGCTAGCCCTTTGTGTGGGTGCTGCTTTGGAGGGTGGGCAGGGGAATGGGCTCACTCAGCCATCCTGGCACTGTTCTGGTGGGTGCAGCAGCTGCCACAGAGCGTTGTCCCCTTCCATGCAGTCAGTCCTTCCCCGCAGATGTGCAGGTGGGAGGGCAGGTCTTCACAGGGTCCCTTGTCCCCATGCAGGTTTGGTGACGGCTACATGATCACAGTGCGCACCAAGTCCAGCCTCAATGTCAAGGAGGTGGTGAGGTTCTTCAACCGCAACTTCCCTGAGGCTGTCCTCAAGGTGACCTCCCTGTGGTGGCAGTGCTGTTCCCTGCCAGCCCCTGCCTTGGGGCACAAGCAGCCTTCCTTCCCCAAGGGACACCTCAGTGGGACTCCCCATGGGGTGATGGGAGGGGGTCTGGGGGTCATGGGTGTCACCTCCGTGTCCCCTGCAGGAGCGGCACCACACCAAGGCCCAGTACCAGCTGAAGTCAGACCAGATCTCACTGGCGCAGGTCTTCAGCAAGATGGAGCAGGTGGTGGATGTGCTGGGCATTGAAGACTACTCCGTCAGCCAGACCACGCTGGACAACGTGAGACTGGGGAGGGTGCGGGAGGCTGGATGCTCATCCCCAGGGAGGGCAGGCGGGTTGGCCATGCCAAAGTGCCTGGCAGAAACCACCTTTGGGGCAGGAGATGAGGCTAGGTGGAGTGCACGGTGGCAGCCCCATGGATGTGCTGGCACCTGTCTCCAGCGGCATGGACGACAGGCAAGGGGCAGCCAGGGAGTGGAGGTGCTCACGGGGTTCCCTCGCAGCCTCCTGACGCTTGCCCCGCCAGGTGTTTGTGAATTTTGCCAAGAAGCAAAGCGACAACCTCGAGCAGCAGGAGACGAGCCCCAGCTGCGTCCTGCAGTCGCCCCTGGAGCGTGTGCTGAGCTTGCTGCGTCCCCGGGCTGCCCCCACAGAGCTGCGGGCCCTTGTGGTGGAGGAGCAGGAGGACCTGGAGACTGACGACGAAGGCCTCATCAGCTTCGAAGAGGAGAGGGTGAGAGGTTGTCCCCAGATCTGGGTGTCCTTGGTCCCAGCTGTGGCCCTACCATGGGGCACCAGGGCTGGGTGCTGCGGCACCAGGTCTTGTGCAGGGAAAGGGACAATGTGGAGCCAGGGATGGACCAGAGAGGGCTCTCTGGGAAGGGTGGCTGCTCCCTGCACCAGGCCAGATTCTGGCCCCAGCAGCACTGGGTGTACTGGGCAGGGCAGGCAGCCCCTGCCCAGCCCAGCTGCTGAGCCCTGCCTGTCTCTGCCCACAGGCTCAGCTCTCGTTCAATACGGACACACTGTGCTGAGACCCCCCGGGGCAGCCACATCCCCCGGTTGTGAAGCCACCTAACCATTTTGGCCTCTCCCCTCCCTTCACCCCGTCAAGCAGAGCTGCCACGGCTGGAGGCGTGTGCCAGGGAGGACATGGTGGGTACTGCACTGGCCTGGACGGACCTCACAAGCCACTGCCCGCTGCGTGGCCTTTGTCCCCTTCAGCTCCAAGGGCAGTGTCACTGCGTGGTGCCCAGGGCCACCGTCCTCGTCTGGCTCGCCCAGCCAGTACATGCCACGGTTGGAGACTGTGAAGAGAAGGACAGGGCTTGGTGCCAGTGCTGCTGGCCCCAGGTGCCTTGTGAGCGATGCCTTTGGTTGGACACCTGTGTTGCACTCACCCTGGGGACCTTTGGTTGCAGGGACACCCCCCCACCACCAGCACTGGCACCACCCCAGGCCTGGCCCTGGCAGGGCAGGAGGGACAGCTGCTTTTGCCTTGCTTCCATCACCGCTGGCTTGAGCCTTGCCCTTAGCACTGTGGGGAGCTCGGGGTCCAGCGCCATGCAGGGAGGAGCTCTGGTGCTTCAGCCGCAGTTGGTTTCTGTCACCAGCGGGATGTCGCCGGAGACCTCCACCCTGTCCCAGATGGGGGTCTCAGCCCCGTGACTGCGTCCTGCCCACCCGCACTGCTGCCAGCCAAGGGGTCCAGAAACGCCGGCCTTGCCATGCGTGTGCCGGGCACTTGGTACCATCCCCAGGGCCGGGCACTCCTGCAGAGGGGCACGCGGTGGGGCAGAGGGGTATTTCACAGGGTATTTCACATGCTGGCACCAGCTGTTTCTCCCCTCTGCCTCCAACCACGTCCCTCCTCCCGGAGCCCCTCACCCTGCCTCCTGCCTGCCCTCACCGGCTGCTTTCCCCACCACAGGGCGTTGCTGCGGTTGTGCCGCCTTCCTGCTGTGTCCCCCTCCTTATCCCCCCTTGCCCTGGCACTCATCGCTCAGTGTCTGGCCCTGTACAGGAGCCACCTGCGCTGGTTTCTTATTGTTGAGCCAGTGGTGATACTGGAAGTGGGGTTACTGTACCCCCAGGATGGCTTTTAAAGCTGGCAGTGGGGTGGCCCTGAGGTGCGAGGGCAAGACAGCTTGGCAGGGGAGGGGAGGATGGACTGCGGCAGAGGGGCTGGCGGTGCCACCGGGGCTGGCAGCGTCACCGGGGCCAGCAGCAGGCACCCCTCCCTTCTGCAGAGGATCCTGCTGCCTTGTCACCCACAGGGGCTGTGCCCAGCACCCACAGCCCAGCAGCACCCCCCAGCCCACCCCTCTCCAGCGACCCGTGGCCGTGCCCAGAGGTGGGGCGATGGCAGGGCCTGTGACACCGATCCTGACTGCCCACCCCGTGGTTGGCCCCAGGCTTTCGCAGCCCCCCGTGCTGTGCACAGCCCCCCCCCCTCCTTCCCAGCGAGCACCCAAGGCTGCGCTGGCTCTCTGTGTCCCCACTGCCCTTTCTGCCGCCCTGGCACGGACTCAGCTGGAGGCCCTGGGCCAGCTCCTGCCCACTGGCAAGCGAGCAGCACTGGGCACGCCAGCTCGCTGTCGTGGGGCAACACACTGCACGGGGAGGTGGATCGGGGCCAGCCCTGGCCCCACTCGGGCACGGGAGCAGGGGCAGACCCAGGTGGCAGCTGACATTCCGCTGTCCCCACGCCCTCCGGCCTCGCCAGTCCTGTATGCCACCTGCTATAGATTGTGATACAATATACAGTATTTTCAATAGGGGAAAAATTTGGGGAAGATAAGCTCTATTTTCAGATTTTTTCAGACCATATTTTTTTTAATGGCATACCGAAAACTGGTTGGTTCTGGAGTGGGGTGGATGGCACGGGTGGGCAGCCCCCGCCTGGGGTGCTCCCTGCTCCCTTGCTGGGCACGCTCTCCCTTCCTGGGAGAGCACTGCGGGGGACAAGCCAGCTCAGGGTTAGCCCTTTGCCACCAGGGAGAGAGGGGGTGATGTCAGCTTTGGGTCCCCAGCCGTGACCTCGGTGGTGGCACCCTCAGGCCCCCCCAGGGTGGGCATGGCACCCTGCTCTGTGCGCTGGCCTGGCCTTTGTCCTTGCCCTGTGCCTGCCCTGCTGCTCAGGGCTCCAGGATGGTGCTGGCACCCTGGGCACAAATCTCGCCCCACCAGCCCTCCCATCTGCTGCCAGGCCACCGTCCCTGTGCCCCATGGCTTTTGATGGTCGATAGAGATGTTTTTATGCCCCTGGCATGGCCTGCCCATGCAGTCTGAGTGGCTGCAGTGCCCTCCCTGCCCTGGGCCCGGGGCTGCCCAGGCACAAACCCCAGCTGGGGGGTACCCCAAGGGTGGCAGCGGGGTGGGAGCAGGAGGGCATCGCCCCAGGGCAGGGGTGGCTGCTGCCTTAACACTATTTTGCTTTGTTGAGTTTGGCCCCGCTTCCCGCCTCACCTCCCTCTGCACGTCCTTGGCCACCAGCCGTGGGCACAGCACCAGGGCCATGCCCGGCCCCGGGCACAGGGCACCCCTAGGGCTGGGGACGCCTTGGAGGAGCCTGTACATTGCAAGCAAAAGAAACAAAGATGAAATGTGAAAATAATGATTGTTTTAAATAAAAAATAATAACTGGAGCCAGTGAGGCTGCATGGTTGCTGGTGGGCAGGCGTGCCAGGGCTGGGTGCCCAGGGAGGGACTGGGCTGAGCAAGCGCTGAGGAGGGGGTTCACAGTGCACTGACTGGCGTGGGGGTGCAGGAGCCTGGCGTGGGCAAAGAGAGTGGGGCACAACGCAGGGCCGTACCCCACACTCGGCCTCTGCAAGGGTGCGCGGTGGGGCTGGCGGGGGGCACAAAGCTGCACAGAGCAAAGGCAGAGCAGGCAGGGCACGCAGGCAGGAGCCACTGACAATGCTGCAAGCTGTCCTTGCTGCACTCGGGCTGGCAGCAGCAGCCGTGGCCGGGGCCCCACGACAGGGTGTCTCCCGCTGCGCTGTGCAGCCAGGCATGGGTGCGAGCGGGTGCACCCTGGGGAGGAATGTGGGCTGGGAGGGGCTGCGGAACCAGCACGGGCACTCGTGCTACAGCCACCACTCAGCCAGCAGCCGCCACCCAGCATGGCCGAGAAACCCCAAATCCAGCTCTTCGTCAAGGTGAGGGGCGTCACGGAGGTCTGGGGTGCCCCAGACTGGTGGGCACCACTGGCCGTCACCCCTGGCAATTGCTGGGCTGGGGCAGCTCAGGGCTCTTCTCCAGGGCAAAGCGCGATGCTGCTCGTCCTCCGTTCCTCCCAGCACAGGGGGCTGCGGGTGCTCAGCCTGGAGTGTTGGACTGGGATGCCCCCACAAAACAGGGGCCTCTCCCTAGGGCCCCTCCCAGCCACTGCCCGGCCGTGGCAGTTTGTCCGGCTGCACAAGGCAGGACAGGGTCCTCCTGGGATCACGCCCAGGGGTGACGGGGCCACCAGCATCGCCATCACCTTCCTCCAGCACAGCCCCTGCCGCACTGGGCTGTACCCAGCCACAGCTGCTCTCTGCCTGGCAGGCTGGGGGGCCCCTGCTCCCCCAGGGGTGCCAGGGCCAGCACCCACTGTGCCACGCGGGCTGCTCTGGGGTGGGGTCTGGGGGCACCCTGCCTGGCTTAGTGGGTGCCACGAGCTGCCAGCACTGCTCCCCAGCCTGTGGCCAGGCTGGGCTTGGCTGGGTGGGGGGTGGCACACGCTCTGCCACCGTCAGCCTGTGCCTACGGGGGCTGCCTGGCCAGCGCTGCCCCCGCGCCGGGGTGAAGGGGCAGCTGAGCTCCCCCTCTCTGCCTGCAGGCAAGCGAGGATGGGGAGAGCATGGGCCACTGTCCCTTCTGCCAGCGGCTCTTCATGGTGTTGCTGCTCAAAGGGGTGCCATTCACCCTCACCACCGTGGATGTGAAGAGGTGAGTCGTGCCCCTCCACTCACCACGGGTGTTGCCACCGTGCGGTCAGGGCGATGGGCAAGGTGTGCCTTGCCCTGGCACAAAAATGGGTGGGTGGTAGATCCCCAACACCTCGGGAAGGGGAGCGAAGGGTGGGCACTGTGGGATGCATGGAGCCTGTTGCACCCTCCCACCGCTGCCCGAAGGAGGCTGGTGGACATTTTCCAGGGAAGAGCTGCTTTGGGCACACACTGATGCAGGAGCAGCCTGGGGGCACCACCTTGTCCCTTTGCTCAGGACACACGCGTGCATACACACACGCGTGGTGCCCTGCGTTCTCATCTCCCACAGGGCACTGCACTTGCTGAAGGACTTCGCACCGGGTGCCCAGCTGCCTGTTTTGCTCTACAACGGCGAGCCCAAGACTGACACAGTAATGATCGAGGACTTCCTGGAGAACCAACTGGGCCCCCCCATGTCAGTGGCTAGCGCTGCCCTGAGAGGGGGCAAGGAGCCAAAGAGGGGCAAGACAGGCTGAGAGAGGGAGCATGGGCAGGCAACACATGAGCCTGCCAGCCCCTGCCTCCTTCCTCACCCGTACCCATGTCCCTGCAGGTTCCCCAGCCTGGTCCCACAGTACAGGGAGTCAAGCCTGGCTGGGAACGACATCTTTCACAAGTTCTCCACCTTCATCAAGAACCCAGTGCCTGCCCAGGACGAGGGTGAGGAGCTGGGTGGGGGGGGAGACCTCATGCAACCCCTCAGGTGCCACCAGCCTGAAGCCTGGACAGGCCACCCTGAGCCTCTCCAGCCCCCCGCTGCCCCAGGCCATAGCTGGGTCTCTCCAGGCACTGTCCCTCTCCACGGGGTTCAGCGCGGCTGTGCCAGGGCTCTCTTGGGAGAGCAGGGGCCAGGTGCCAGCCTGGGCCAGGCAGGGGGCCAGGGCAGACCCACGGGGCACCGTGCCTGCAGCGGGGCTGTGCCCTGACCCAGCCGTGCTGCCGTCCTTCCCGCAGTGCTGCAGCGGAACCTGCTGCGGGCCCTGCTGAAGCTGAACGAGTACCTTAGTGCCCCCCTGGAATACGAGCTGGCCCGCAACCCCCAGCTCCGGGTCTCCCAGCGCCGCTTCCTTGACGGGGACCAGCTCACTTTAGCTGACTGCAACCTGTTGCCCAAGCTCAACATCATCCAGGTGAGCGCAAGCAGCCTGGTGCCATGGCCTTTCCCTTGCCCTGGCTTCTTGATGAGACTGGCCCCATGCTCTCGCCTCCCCCCTGGCTGCCTGCAGCAACACCCCCACTCTTTTGCCAACCCCTTTACGGCTCCGGTGCCCCCCTGGCACCCCCCTCCCCATGCCCCCTGGGCAGCACACTGCCTTCCCACTGACCTCACTCCCCTTCACATCCCCGCCAGGTGCCACCCCTTCTCATGCAGTGTCAGGTGTGTCCCCTGGCCTCCTGCCACCCATCCTGGCTGGCTGCTGCCCCAGTTTGCAGGGCCCTCCTTGGCACACACTCCTGGGCAAGGACTCACCCTGTTTCTGCCTGCAGGTCGTGTGCCAGCATTACCGCCGCTTCGGGATCTCCAAGGACCTGCAGGGTGTGTGGCACTACCTCAGTGCTGCCAGTGAAACCAGGGAGTTCAAATACACCTGCCCCAGCAGCGAGGAGATTGTGCAAGCCTATCGCTCCGTGGTCCGGTCGCCACAGTGAGCCAGGCACGTGCCCAGGTGAGCACAGGGCCAGCGTCAGGCAGCAGGCCAGTGCCCACCTCAGTCCTGCTATATCCATCACGGTCCTGCCTGCATCCATGCAGGAGGGCAGAGACGATGAGCTGTGCCCCCGCCACCCAAATTCCCCCAGCCGGCACACCAGCCCACGGTGCCAGCAGTAATCTGCATCACACTGAGCCTGCAAACTCATTCCCACCTCTTTTGCCACCCTCCCTGCCCAGCCAGGACCCCCACGACCTGCCCTGTGGTGCCTCAAGCATCGGGATGGGTGCAAAGAGACCACAGGCACCATCTACCAAAGCTGGGCAACGCTGAGGGCAAAGGTAGAAGCTGGGGAGGAAAAGCTGCCCAGAGCAGAGGGCTGTGGGGTGCAGAGAGGGCAGTGCACTGCAGTGACCACCCCTGCAGGCTCCCTCAGAGGCACACTGTGCCACCCACCAGGTGAGCGACCGGAGGCAGGGCTGTGCCAGGGCAGCAGGCACCGCAGGATGCCCCTGAGGAGCTGCACCGGGTGAGGGGAAGCAGCACAGCCACGGCAGAGCCCTGGGAATGGAGCCGGAGGGATGGCACAGGTGGTGGACATGGCCCAGCCCCCTGGGTGAGGGGAGTGGAGGGCATCATGCTCCCAGATCCTGCCATTAGGAAGCTCTCAGGAGCAGATTTGGGAGGGATGGGGGTGAAGCGAGGCAAGTCCAAGCCATGTATCAGAGCTCCAAGAAATCAATAAAAGCTTTGCAAGTGAGACAACTGTGAGTCTGGAGTGACCAGCCCCAGCAGCTCTCCTCTCTCGCAGGACTTCACACAGGCCTCCCAGTGCCTAACAAGGGCTGGGCTCATTCTCCCAGCGCTCCAGGGGGCTGGGGAGGCTCTAACCACTCACCCATCAGCCCACTGGCACAAAGCTGGCAGGAAAGTGAACTCCTCTAAGCCCCTGACCCTCCAGGTTAAGTTGAAATCGGCCCCAGGGTTCCTGACCAAAGGAAAGGCAGAATGGACTGACACATCCATGCTGTCACAGTCCCTAGAGACTGGCTGGCTAAAACCACTCTTACTGGCAATAAGTTAAGCACAGGCAATCTTTTTGTTACATTATGATATAACAGTTCTTTAAAAAACCCAACAAATCATGGCAAGCAAGGTAGAGAGGTGTCCCCTGCCAGCAGGAAAGAGCTGCAGGGAAAAACGCCACCACTTCTGTTACCCCTGCCCCATCTGTCCCCCGCAAAGGCCCTGCCACTGCACCAGCTGAGGATCTGCTGCCTGCTCAGGCTCCAGCCCTCTGGGTCCTGCTTGCCCTACCCGCCTCCCTAGATGCAAGGGGCTCAAGCAGACCCAGGGTGCAGTGAAGCCTCTTCCACCAGCCACACACATGGTTGACAAGGCTCTGGTAGGGTTGTCATCAGCGGATGGGACAGCACAGGTCAAGAATCTTCAAAATCCACTCCAGACGGTGCCTTTTTACTAGGAAGAGATGGAGGGAACATCACAGCCCAAAGCCCCACACCCTGCTCCCATGCAACTACAGAGCAGTATCCACTGGATCCCTGCACAGCCCAGCCCCATCACTGCACCTGGGGAAGCACTTACCTTTTGAAGCCAGGGTTAATAAGAGACTCTCCTGGGATCTTCCTCTTGGCCGGCAAAGCTGAGCCAGCACCCCTCTTCTTCCTGGGGCTGGGGTCTGCCTCAGTCAGGATGGGGATTGCAAAAGGTCAGCTAGTTGCTTTACCAGCCCTGTAAGCCCCTCCATGCCCAGGGTGAGCCTCTAGCAGCCCAGCCTGGCAGGCCCAGCATCTGCGGCAGGTGAATAAGGGCCAAGCCTGGTCTCTCCCAAAGCAGCAGGAAGAACAGCAAAGCCTGACCTCCTGGAGGCTAGTAACCTGCCTGGCAATGCCCAGCATCTGACCTGAGCACAGTGCATCCCAGATACCTCGAGAGCCACTGCGCTGAGCCCTGGACCCTTCTGCAACAGGGGAAGGGCATCAGCACAGCGGAGCAGCTGACAGCAGCCACAACTGAGGGGACTCAGTGTCCTGAAGAGCACATGGGCACAGGACCAGCTGATTCCTGGGGAAGAAAAGGCAAACAAGCACTGGGACCATGGGAGATGTCTTCTGGCCACTGCCTACCTGGCAGGAAGCGCTGCTGGCTCCAGGCATCATTCTTCTCAGGGCTGCAGGAAGGTGCCGGTGTCTCCACCACTGCTGAGACAGGAACCAGAGCCACAGCTTGTGACAACGCGCCCCAACGATGCCCACAGCTCCAAAGCAACCCCAGCAAGCTCCCTCCCCTCCACAGCCAAACTGAGCCACATTCTCCTTCCAGCACACCCACCCAGGCTGCCGCTGCCCCAAGATCTTCCTAGACCCCCAGACTAGAGACCTCTAGAAGGCAACTCCCCCTCCACAGATGTCGGCACGGCGTTGGCCATGGGGACAAAGTTGCGTTTCTGCACAGAGACAAAACGCTGTGTCCTCTGGCCCCACACAGGATCTCTTCTGCCTGAGGTGATCGGGTACAGACCCTAGCCAGCCCAAACAGGAAAAAGAAGGCAGCACCTCTGCTGCCCAGCCCTTCTGGCCAGTCTACCCGGGATCAGTGAAGGGAAACCACCTGAGGCTAGGCCAGGGAGGCCCAGCCTTCTCCCATTGCTGGCTTTGCTGGATTTCCTGGGGCATCTTTGGGTGTGGGGGGGGTGACACCGCAAAGGTGGCAGGGAGCTCCCTGCCCTTCTCCCACCCTCACCCCGTTCCAACCCCCGCCACGGACCTTCTAGGCGTTTCTCCAGGCTTTCGATGCGCCCTGCCATGCCAAACACCAGCCCCTGGAGCTGGCTCCTCGCCTCGGCGACGGGCAGCTTGATGAGATCCAGGGCTGAGCACCGGGCCTCCTCGCTCCGCGGCTGCAGCGTGGCCGTCCCCTCGCCCAGGCTGAGCGCGGCCGCCCCGCGCCCCACGGCCTCCCTGCGGAGACGCGCCCGCGCTGAGCGGGGCCCTCGGCGGAAGGGCCGGGTCCCCGCCGCTGCCGAACCCACCTCAGCTTCTCGCCGTGCTCCTCCGGCTGGCACGGCTGGGGAGGAGAGGGAGAACGTCCCAAAAAACCGGCCTGCCCCGGTCCCCGGCCCCCGGCCCCGCCACCGCCCCGGCCCCGGTACGTACGCAGCCGAGCGGCGAGCGGGCGGCCGGAGCCCCGGCCCAGACTTCCAGCCCGTCGGTCACACTGCGGGAGGCAGCGGCTCAGGCTGTGGCTGTGGCGGAGCCGCCCGGCCCCGGCCCCGGCCCCGGCCCCGGCCCCGGCCCCGGCCCCGCACTCACTAGACTGTGCCGCCGGGGCCGGGGCCGGGGCGGCAGTAGCAGAGGTACCTGCCCGTCCCGCCCCGCAGCCGGTGGAAGGGCCCGGCCGGCTCCGCCATGGCGGCAGCGCCGGAAGGGGCGGGCGGGGCCGGGCGGCGGCGCCATGGTGAACCTGGGGCTGCGGCGGGTGGAGGACGGCGTGGCCGCCAAGCACCCGGTGCGCCCCCGGGGCCGGGGCGGCGGGGGGGGGCGGCGGGCCCGGCCACCCGCGCCGACCCCGCGTGTGTCCGCAGGCGCTGCCGCAGTATGCCGCCTGCCAGTCCCACGCCTTCATGAAGGGCATCGGCGCCTTCCTGGCAGGTACGGCCCGGCCCGGCCCGGCTCCCCCCGCCGCCCGGCCCCTGGGCCCGGCTCCCCCCGCCGCCCGGCCCCTGGGCCCGGCTCCCCCCGCCGCCCGGCCCCTGGGCCCGGCTCCCCCCGCCGCCCGGCCCCTGGGCCCGGCTCCCCCCGCCGCCCGGCCCCTGGGCCCGGCTCCCCCCGCCGCCCGGCCCCTGGGCCCGGCTCCCCCCGCCGCCCGGCCCCTGGGCCCGGCTCCCCCCGCCGCCCGGCCCCTGGGCCCGGCTCCCCGGGGCAGCCCGGGCGCGGCCGCGGCCGGTAACGGCGCCCGGGTTTTGGCAGGCAGCGGAGCCGCCTTCGCCGTGCAGAAGCTGGTGAACAAGAAGCTGCCGTACAGCCTGCAGTGGAGCCTTCTGCTGGCGGGGGGTGAGTGTCCTGCCCGCGGCCGGGGCAGCGGCGGGAGCCGGGCCGGGTGGCAGGCGGAAGGGCTGTTTGTCCTTACAGCGGGGCATGTCCGGCCCTGGCTCCTGTCACATCCCTGCACCTCCCGGCCCTGGGAGCCTCACAGGCAGCTGCGGCAGCTCATAAGCTGGCAGGTGCTTTCCCCACCACCGGTCCTTGGCAAATACCTTTGCCGCCAGCGCTCTTGGGAGCGTCTCGGTCTCTTCAGCCACAGGGTCCCTTGCCAGCTATGTGGTAACCAGAGCTGAGACAAGGAAATGCTCCAACTTCTGGATTTACCTGGAGACAGGCAAGTCCCCACAGGAGCTCGCCACAGCTGGTAGGTGTCTCGGCCCACAGGTATGTTCACATCTCTCGCTGCTGCTTTCCCTGGGCTTGTCATGCCTGATTCTTCCCTGCTGCACCAGTTTACTCTTCTTGCCTCATAATTAAGCTGATGACTTTGTGTCGTTGCCAAAATCCCCATGTAAGTCTCACGCTGTCAGCCTGCAGCTGAGGGATGGGAGCAGTGCTAGGATGGCTGGAGCACCCTGCCTGGTCTCTGCCTCCCGCGTCTCCCCATGCTCTGGGCCATCGCCTGCGCTGCAGGTACCTGAGCAGGGCTGGCAGCACGGGGTGGGAGCACCTCCTTCTGCTTGCTGCCCTGCCTGCTTTGTGGGTTCACAAGAGCCACCATGAAGGGCTTGTTTGCTGGAAGAAGAAGAAGAAGAAGAAGGTAGGGGATGGAGGGAAGCACCTACACACCCCAGTTCCTCGGTGCGGTGAGCAGAGCTGGAGTGGATGGTTCTCATGGCTGCTTTCTCTCACTGGTGCCGTGAGCTCTCAAAGCTAGGCCTAGCTGAAGAGGTTTTAAATGCTTCACGAGGGCTCTGTGGTTCTCTGCCTATCCCTGGCAAATATGCTGGGATAGTCCGGGGTCCAGGGAGCTTGTTCTTTCTGTTGCAGAAAATCTGCCCAGCCCAGAGGACAGAGAGAGTGTGGCACCGCTGGTGAGGAGGAACATATACGGGGATGTTGTGGAGTAGCTAGCAGAGCACAGTGCGTTGTGCCTGTGTCCTGCTTCACCCCTTCCTGCCTGCCCAGCCTGCCAGAGACTGGTGGGCTCTGTGGCCCTGCCCAGGAGCTCAGATTATTCGACCCTACAGTGAGAGTGTGGTGGAGGCTCTGTAGGGGTTGCTGCCTCCCAGGTGGCCTCTGCACATCACACATGGTAGGGTACAATAAAATTTGAGAGCTGAAAGCACTCAGTGTGGACAAATTGAAGTCTGGCAATGGAACAGGAAGAGCAAGGGTGCAGGTGGTAAATGTCACCATGAGGCAACCTCTGCAGTAAATGTTGGGAGCAGAGAGCTCTGGATCTTCTGAGGCCATGGCATTCGCATTCTGACAGCACGGGACTGTGAAACGACTGCAGGCATAGATGGGTCTGGGCGAAGCTGTGGGAGGGCAGAGCTGTTGCCATGTGCTCTCTGTTTCTTGAGCCTAGCTGGTCAGTAGTGTCCCTGCTCCCATAGCAGCAAGGCTTTTCTCGCTTGCCTGAATGGGGCTGAGCTGAGCCCTGCAGCTGCATGGCCTCTGGGGGTGTCCTCTGCCCCTGCAAAGGGGGTGCCCGTGTGCCCAGAGCCCCTCTGTGTGGTGCTCGCCTTACTCTTAGGGCATGTCACCTGGCCAGTCCCAGGCGCTCCATCCAGGTCCGTAACGGAATGGTACTGTCATGAGTCCGGCACACCCAGAGGGGCACATGGGAATATTAGGAATCCTCTTTCACTTCATTCTTTCGTAACAGCAAACTCCAAGTCATGACTAGAGCAGATGGGCTGCTCTTGGTGGCTGTCCAGCACTGATTCAGCTGTGGCTGAATTTCTTGGAAGGGGAGACCCAGCCTGGGTTCTGGAAGGTAGCTGGTTTCTTAAAGCAAAGGAGCAGCATTTCAGCTTGAGAGACCAGAAATGCCTGCTCCAGTGAGAGAGCTGGAGACAGTCCCTGAGCCTCGCCACAGGAGGGAGTCCGTGCACTGGGGACATGAGAGGCCCCGGGAGTAAACTGGGTTTGGGGTGTCAGAACATCATCTGACCTGGAATTGTGTTTGCCCTGTGCAGAGAGCAGCCAGTGGAACAACTAAAAGCAAAGCGGATGAGGGGAACAGGCAGGTTAAGCCAAGCACGCTGGAGCAGGAAAGGGTGTTGGTAAGTGAGTAAAGCTGTGGAGCAGAGCTGGTGCCACCTGTGAGAGCGAGGAGAGCAGTGAGGAACTGCAACTCTCGCTAAAGCCACTCCTCTCCTGGGGCGTGAAGAGGAGCATGGCAGGGCAGGAGGCTCTTTTCAGGTGGGCTTGAGGAGTCGGGACGGGTCCTGTGCAGCTGGATGCGTGCCGTGGTGACTCGGAGCTGCCAGCGACTGTGTGCCCAAATTGCCAACCCTGCAGGCTGCTGTCCTGCCCTGCTGGGTGCCAGACCCACACCCCTGGGAGCAGAGGCTCCCCATGTGTTTTCCTTGTGTGGAGGCTGTGGCCATGAGCACAGCGGTGAATGCATGGGACAGAGCCAGCTTCAGCACTGCCTGCTCACACCTTTGGGGTGACTGGACCTCTAGCGCTTGGGAAACCTCAACTTTGCAACCATGGCTGGTTGAAACTTCCACCTCTGGGTGGGCCTGAGTCTGGAGTGAGGTTTCAAGCCCATCTTGGTCCACCTTGGGAGATTCTCCGGGCTGGCGGAGCATATGAAACCGTGGTGGGGACTCAGCACTGGGCTGGCTGCGAAGGACTGAGACCTACAGGCAGAGTCTGACCTGCAGCCTGTGTCCAAGTAGACAATGTAAGTGGCTCCAGCCCTGTGAGGCAGCCAGGCTTGATCAGCCCGCTGCTGATTAAGAGCCACAGAGCCATAGGAGTGGTTACAAAGATTTATTTCTGATTATAAAAAAAAAAAAAAAAAACCAACCAAACCAAACTTTCTGCATGTTTGCATGTCCCTGTTTTTACTCATTTGGAAATGAAGGCTCATCTTCCCAGCTGCCTGGTGTGGAGTGGTACAGGACTCAAATCCTAAAGCAGTGCAAGGCCCCACTCCTGCAGCAAGCCCATCGCCTCTGCTGGCACAGCCAAGCTCCAGGGAGCCACAGGGGCTTTTTGTGCCATTGCTGGGGGATGGAGGAGGCTCTGGCTGTGGCAAAGGTGAGACTGGCTTAGGAACCACAGGGATGGGAAAGGCACTGCATCTGGTTGCTGAAGAGGTCACCCTGAGGGATGGGTTGCTAAGGGTCTACCCAAAGCCCCTGTTCTGAGGCCAGTGGAAGTCCAGGCCAAGATTTGGCCCTTGGGAAGGTCAGTGGGTTTTGTACATCATCCAGAAAGACAGCATGGGCTCTGAGTGATGCCCAGAGCTCCCTGGAAGTCAGGGCTGATGCTCCAGGAACGTGCTAGCGAGGTCAACTATAAGGACAGCATAAGTAATACTTCCCACCCACCCCATACATGTGAGAGTAAATCGTGCTCTTGTCTGGACTCACTGGCCCCGTCCAGCCCAGGTCTGGCAGCAGAAAGCTGCCCCAGATCTGAACATCCAAATCCCGAGCCTGCTCCAGGTCCATCCCTGAGTAACACTGGGAAACCATTCTCCTGCAGAGACAGCGGTCCTCTTCTGTCCCACCCTTTCTGCAGCTTGAAGGCAAGGGGAGGGCAAAATGGGACAGCTTTCCTTCTGGGACAGGCAGCATCGGGTTTTGGAGGAAGACGTCTCTGAGCACTTGCGGCATCCCAAGTGTTGAGGTCATGAAGACTCCAGTAGGAAGGATTGGTGCTGGGTCGTGCAGACAAGGCCCACCCTGTCTCTGCTGTTAGATTGCAAGGGACTTGCTGCGCCGGAGCAGGCAGATGGCAGTCACCAGAGATATCAGGGTGGTGACCACAAAGAGCAGGATGAGGACGACCCAGTAGTTGTACAGCATGCTTTTGTGGGAAGAGGGCTTCTCTGCTGGGATCATGTTAGTGAGGTTCAGCATGTAGCCCAAGGCCCAGCCGATGGAGGTTTCTCCTGCCTGTGGAAACAGCATGGCATGGTCACCACCCTGCTCAACCCAGCTCCATGGCCCTCAGACATTCCAGGGATCACCTTACTGTCATCCCAATGGAGAAGAGGTGTTTGAGGCAGTTCACAGCCCCCTGAGCCCTCGCTTGCCTGTGGGTCCAGCCAGCCCGGGGGCAAAGCAGTGACCAGCCCATGCTGTGCTGGGCTCATCTGATGGGAGCAGGTTCTCATCCACTGCTGATCTCACTGCCCCTCCCATGATGCGTGCAGATGAGGAGACTTGGCAAAGATGGGATCCTGCCCTGAGATAACTTCCCAACAAACAAGGGCAAAGAGTTTTTTGAGATGGCTGGTGTCTTGAGGGCCAAGGAAGGACCTGGAGGACCTTGAAATTCCTGTCTCCATGATCACCCCACAGTCAGCTCAGCTTGCTTTTTTCCATCTCCCAGAAGATCCACCCAAAACCTGGGAGTTCCATCCTTCCCCTGTTCCCCAAGATCTTTCTTCACATTCCTTGGCTCTTCCTTGGTGTGGGATCTTCACTCCTGCAGTGCTTTTTGGCCTAACTACAGGCAGGTACCATGGGATGGGGATGTGCTCTGGTGTTACCTACCTTCTTTTGGAAGGCAATGTTGGGGAAGGAATGGTTGTTGAAGTTGTAGCCTTCGGTGGTGAGCAAATAAACGAATGTGCTGACAGCGCAGTAATCCGACAGCCTCTTCTCCAGCTTGGGGGCTTTCTGGAGCAGCTGGACGGGATGCATGGAGGGAGAGAGAAAAGGGGTCAAGCCAGCAGGGTCCAGGTTTTGTTGCCATGGCCTGAAGCTCTGGATGGTTACATCTGGCTGGCCAAGGTGCTGCCCATACCTACCTGAGTCTCTCTTGGTCCCATGTGAGAGCCATCACCCACCCTTCCCCGACTCCATGGGTGCCAGGACACCCAGCCCCCTCCAAGGGCTGCTCTCAGAGCCCGGGTGATGCCCCAAACGAGGCAGCCCTCTCCTCCATGCAGTGCCTGCGGGGCTCACCTCACTCCAGCTGGTGGCACAAATAATCTCAGCAGCATCCTTCAGGTCACTGGGCAAGCGCACAGTTCTCCCCATCACTGTCTGGATGAAGTCCACCGTGTAGAAGAAGGCAGAGAAGGCCTGATGGAGGAAAGGAGGCAGCTGTGGGACAGACTGGAAGCAAACCTTCTCACCATGAACAGCTGCTCTGACTGGCATGGTGGGAACAAGAGACTGCTCTTGCAGAGCTGGGGCTTTGCCACTCTGTGATGCCGGGGGGTTGGGGACATCTGCCCACCCACCACCCCACTCCATGCCGGGACTTACAATGAAGTTTCCTGAAACCTCAGGCTGGAAAATGCCATCGAAGGAGCAGTGGGAGAAGGAGCAGGTGGTGAAGTTGAAGAGCTTGCTGACGTGCAGAGCGCACAGGCTCCCGTTCCCAGTGCCAACAACAGTGACAGTGGTGTTGAGGGCAAGGCTTGGCCTCTCCTTCTCTGTGCAGGGGCTGTTGTAGACGCTGCTCAGTGACAGGCTCTTGTGGTAGCCCGTGGGCCAGCAGGGATTGGGGACAGTGGCTTGGTAGCTCTCAGCCTGCTAGAGAAGCAACACATGGGCCGTGTGATCTGTGCCGTAGCCCTGGCTCCCCCACTGCTGCTGCACAGCACCGGCACCACTGCCTGCCTGCCTGCCTGTGTTTCCCTTCTGGGGAGTTGCAAGGGAGCTTGGGCAGTGAGATGCGGAGCTGGCATTGCCACAAGTGTCTCGAGATGACTCGGGATGTCTTGGCTCTGGCCAAGGGGTACAGCACCTTATGAAGAGGGTGGGAGGAAGCCCTGAAACCACAGGAGGGGGTTGGGGGCAAAACCCAAGAGTTGGCTGGGAAAGGTGTACAGCTGGCCTGAAGGGGCTGTCCTAGAGCCAGGGCTGGGGGACAACCCTGTATAAACACCAGAGTCAGGAGGCAACAGTGGGGTGATGACAGCCAGTATCCCCATCAAGCGCATACCAGTACCTGGAGGAGCTTCGAGAGCAGCCTCTTGAGGACCTGGTCTCTTCCATAGCAGAGGAAGCTGTGGGTATATACTTTGTACTCCTGGCCGTACAGCTTCAGCATCACCTCGTTTCTGGGGTCTTCAATGGTGTCCCTGGTTTCAAAGGTGATCTGTGTGGAAGCACCCCCGAAGTCCATGGCCCCCAGGGTCTTCTT